ACTGCACCAGTTGCAAGGGAATTACAACACAGGACTTGAACTCATTCCCGTCTTTCGAAGTCCTCAGATGACCTTTTATCCAAAGGACCGCATATTTCACCAACCAGCTCCACCGGCATCTCCAAGTACGACCGCCCTCACATTCCCCTCACGTCCTCCCTCCTTCCCCAGCCTCTCCCCTGTCCTATATCACGGCAGAGCGTCTAAGGTTGAGAGACAATCGGAGAGAGGAAGAAGTACAGATTTGGAAAGGATCATATTGATTTTAGGCCCATTGTAAGACTTATTGGTATTCTGAGGGGGTAGAGGTGCTACTCAAGAGAAATATGAGCCCTCCCTCGCTGAATGAAAAAGATTCATCAGCAATAGCTGATGCAGATCAAAAAGAAGGACTGCTTCAATAAAGACACTGAAAGACAAAGCGAAAACAGAAAGATGAAAAAAACGTTCTGGTCTAAGAGCTCAAGCCTAGATGTCTTGATGTTTTCTCATCTTGGTTTCTATACTTCTGTGCAGGTGAACACAGGCAAAGTTGTTCAACCCACTTTTGACTCATGCCAACTGTTATACAGTCCTGATGGATCGTCACCATAGTCAATCCCACCAGCAGATTCCAATACGTGCAGTTATATAAACTGACTGATAGCAAATCAAAGTGAGTGGATTAAAACGGGTCCTTCTATTGTGTTGACATCCCCTTTGAATGGGTAACAAGCTACATTCTACGTTTTAAAATAAGCTGCCTTCTTTATAAGATCTTGTGCTCTCATTCTCTAAACTGCCCAGTCTCAAATAAAACATACATGTATATATACATTTATATATCAGTACTGTGTCTGCTCAAATAAATAGTTCTGGACACAAAGACATGAATATTCAAATTAGCCAAAGTAATTATAGTTATTTCACCCCTTAGCCATCATGAATAATGAGACCGTGGAGACAACTCCAGAGCTGCTACAGTACTGAAATGATTAGCATATGTTGCTTATAACAATAAAATGTGTTGAGGACACTTCCAACAGCAGAGATTCAGTACAATCTCTGTGCTCCAGTGAATTGCTTGCCTCTAGTCCTAACAAATGATGACAAACTGTTAAGCAGCATATGAAACCAAACTATGTAACTATTCTTTTTTAAATACCACAGCACTCTGTCTGTACTGGATTCTGATGTGGCCAGTTTTTGAATTATACCAGCAGGTATGCCATAGCAGTATTTCAGTATGTAAAGTAAACAGTCCCACCTAGTGGTGTAACCAAGCTCTGCAGTGTGTTAGGAAATAACCAAAATGTAAACATTTGTGCATTAATCTTGTTCTAGGTTAAAAACCTTAGAAACAACAGGAATTATAAATGCTGCTCATGCTTATTTAAACATCTTAAACTCATGCTCAAAGAGTCATAAACAGCATCACTGCTCCTGCATAACTGCTGGCTTTATACTCCTTAAAAGGATCCAGTCCACACAGTCATTAACCTTGAGAAAATGATGAGCAAGGAATGATCAGGAGCAAGTTCTCCGGATGGCAGATAAAGAAGAAAGAAAAAACTCAGAACAATTCTTTAGGTTATGCACATCAAACAAGCAGAGAAGTTCCCTTATCCACGTTCACTTCATCTGGAGCCTTTGTGCTGACAAAGCCTGTCAAATCACAGTAGGACCCTACACACGATTAACTCGCAGATAATCTCTGATGTGAGCGGGAAACTCCGCTGTCAGCCCATTTGTAATGCTTAAAAAGAAATGATTAACACATATATATGATCATTGTTCGAGCAAATGCTGTAAAACTTGAGATCCTACACTGCCAGAACAACACAAGGTAACAATTAGTGTTGGGCTAAATGTGCAAAATGTCCCTGAGATATTAATCAGCAGAACAGAAAGGTAAAAGCCTCAGAGTAAAAATAGTCAAACCTGACCTCAAAATGTGTGTTTATTAGTTAATTAAACACCTCCTAGTGACAAACTATTTTCTTATGTTACGAGACTCTTAAGAATAGCTGTTTCTGTGTGAGTTTGTGGTATTTATAACCGCGTAAATACAAATTCACAAATATAATATGACTCTTTTATGATTTCGTCTTGGCCTTCAGCTTCAAAAGCATCACAGTGATAGTATTTGAGGTTTGTGCTGATGTGAGCGAGCATTTGATCAATTAAGATGCCCAACAAAAATGCAAAGAGAAAGCAGGCGGAACCCTGCAGAGCTTTTTCCTTCGATGTTTCTCTGCGCTCTGACCTCTGCTGAGAGAAGGAGTCGTGCAGAGTTTACCTTATTAACGACTATCTCTGTTATGCTCTTTGCACAAATTCTCCACGACAGCCAACACCTCTAACACACTATGTGAGGTTGATTTCATGTCTTTACCTGTCTGTTTTTTGGTGAAGGCTTTTCCCATCATGCACTAGGCTAGATGTCTGAATACCATCACATTTGTCAGACTGCGTGTAACATGAACTTCCTCAGTACACAGAATTGAAAGCAGGAATCAATCTGTGTCATTGTAAGAGGACAGCATTTACAACAGAGCTAATCTAAGGCCTGTTCAATTGCACTATGGTATAAAGTTGCATTAATCAATATGTTTGTATTATCAATGGAGGACACAACTTAGTGTATGTCGACAGTGTTGCTAATAGTGGCAAACCAACGGAGAATTATCACAACCTCTGCAATTCTCCTCAAATGCTGTATAATGTGCACTTTAGCATTTTACAACTTATTGTTTATGGCTTGCAACTCTACTGATATAGTTCACACCCACTGCTCTTATCAGCGTATTGTTCAGCCTAAAGAAAAGCTCAGATGCACTCTTCCTGATCTCAACCAAACGTCAGTCAAAGCAAGCAACTAGCTTATCAACATACTGAAGAATTTTGTGAGTGAATACTAAGAGACTTACATTACGTCTGTCGAACACAACACATCTCCAAAGTAATGTTTCTCCAGGTCTGTTGGAGACATAACTAGCCAACTGTCTGCTCAGATGATTGGCAATGATATGTCAATGTTGTTTTTACAGCCGGTTGTGCCTCCTAAGTGGCCAAGAAAAAGTTATGTTAAAGGTGGGGTAGGTAATTTTGGAGAAACCGGCTCGAGATCGCTAGAATTTGAAAATACACAACCGGAAAAAATCTGCCACTTCCTTACAGAGCCCCTCCTCCAACACACACAAACGCGCACATGACCAATGAGGGCACGAGATAAGTTTGTGCACAGAAGGAAGGCTGACAGGCAGGTCGGCCATCCAGTTATTTTAGCCGGGCCAGCTAAAATGATTGGTCGTGCTTTTTACAGTACTACGGCTTCCACAGATAACATTTTTTGAATGGATTTTTTGTCAAAGCACTTAAGATATTCATTGCTATCGGGATGTTAAGAGCATTCTATGGAATATAACAAAAAGTGTATCTCGAGCCGGTTTCTCAAACTTACCTACCCCACCTTTAAAGTTTGAAAGTCATCTAAAGACTAGATGCGGCATCATTGTAAATGTTTCTTATTCTTTGTATTCTTCTTTAAGGGATATATTCATTATTCAAACAGATAGACTACACTATATATTGTTTAGCAAAAATCACTTAATCAAAGCTGTAAAGAGTGCATTTGCTCTGTACTTTTTTCATGTTTGCAGGTGACTTTATGGCAACGTAATGATGTATGTAGGATTGATCGAAAGTGAACTACAGTAAGGTAAATTGTTTATGTTATCACATAATGTGGGGTGTATTGTCTGACGAAGGTTAGATGCTATTATCAGCGTGCTAGGGTACTGGTAAGTGTTCTATTGCAAGTGATAATACTGTAAGGCAGTTTAGTGCATATCTGCACGTATTAATTGGTGCTAGTTAAGAGATAAGAGATTCACCTGAGTTGATATTATGATATAAATCTTTAAATAAATCTTAATTCAACATTTTCCCTGGCTCCACAATTGTAAGATCTTCATTGGTTCAATTCACAAGGCAGACTGTTCGGCATATCAACATTTTGTGAATTAATTCAGCTGAGAAGTCCTCAAAACTTGAAATATGGTAATATCTCCACGGTTACAGAGCTTGTGGTTATGGTAATAAGGGAAATGTCACCCTGCGTAATGTTGTGGCTCATTGATGAGGTTTTTTAATCATGTTTCAGACATGAGGGGAGGTCTGTGGAAAACATCAATAAGATGTACTGGTGTTTGGCTTCAAAGGAAATACTTAGTGGGATTTGTTGGTAAGAAATATAAAAATAAAATATCACCAGTCTTATCATTGATGTCTCTTTACATTTTGCCCAAACCCCAACAAGCCAAAATGGTTTGCTCCTCCCCGTGAAAACTCATCAAGACGCTGCCATCTTAAGTCTTTTATTCCTAAAGCCATTATATAACATAATGAATAAAAAGCTTCTTATTAACGTGAATGACATCTCCTCATTATGTTTGACTCACCCCGCCCACCTCTTACCTGAGTCCTTCTCAAAGAAAAGACAGCAGTGAGTCTGTAGTAGCCATGGTAACACCTGTGACAGATGAAAAGATGGATGACAGATATAGTACAATACAGCTGAGTCACGCCAGACACACATACACACACACACACACATACAAAGATTGACTGAAACGAAGGGCACAATGGGAACGTGTGGGCATTTACAGACAGAAAGAAACTTGAGGTAGCAGAAGCTGTGGGTCCCCTCCACCCTGCCTCCCCCACCTCCACCTCCTCACCCATGTATCTCACAACCTCACCCACACACCATGCATCATGATCATTCACAGCTATCGATTGTTCAGGAAACACCCTGACAAGCGCCAACTACCAGTCAGTGACTCATCCATGCGCTGCAGAACTTTTCACATCTATACTTTAGTGAGTTTGATCAGGTGCGCCACACCTGCGTCAGAAAAGCCTCCATCAGACCTTCATGTATAGGTGCACTTGAGATAACAGTCAATATCAACAACAGGCTGTGTTCATGCCCAAACACCGTGCATCTTGTCTCCTACCTTTTTCAACGCTGTCATCTTCCTCCTCTGAGAAGGTCACTTCTTCTTCTTCGATAGTACACGGGCGCTGAATAAGTGAAAAGCGATCATGTCTCCTGGAATCCCTGAAAATGTTCATTGCCTTGTTCGTTAGAAACATCTGCGGTAGAGCGGCCGTAGTTTCCCATGATGACGGCGGCTTGTTGTTTTTTTGTCCGACGCGAGTCCCGATGCAGCGGCAGACTTCATTCTCTGGAGATGATGGATCAAACACTGATGTTGTTGTGGTCACTGATGGCACAGCTCCGCCATATCAGACGCCATTTTTGCAAAGTCTGCACCTGCAATCGCCTACTTGTATTGATCGAAAAATAATGAAAAAATAAATAACGTCACACGTAACTTCTCAACAGCTAAACATACAAACGTAAACATCAACACCTATTGAGAAATAAAAGCATTACTTTATATTGATTTACATGAAATACGCATGACGCACTTACTAACAAGTTAAACTAGGCTACGTAGGCTAATGAAAAACTATAGTGGATGAATTAATGGTAAATATTAATTTACAATAAAATGGTATGCAATTTGTGAGAGCTAAATATGTACATGTACAATATATAGCATAGGCTATTACGTATTACTTCAAACTACACATAGCTAAACGTTTTTTTTCATATCCTTTACTTTGCCAGTTTATTTACGTCTTCTTCATTAATATTGATGGCCTAACTTTTTTGTACTTTTTTATTATGAAAGTTACAGAGTGCATTACATGAAATTACAATTTAAAGTAATAAAGAAGTAACCAAAATCAACTACTAAAAAGATAAACTCATAATTTAAATGAGAAGATTGAATTCAGTTAATCATTTTTATTTTTTTAAATGTATTATTTGTTATGATTGGTAAAGTCTGAAAATATGGTACCAAAAGGGCAAGCATTTTTAGTCTAACTTTTAAAATGTTCACACTTAACAGTAGTCAAAGTCAAGCGAATTTATTCAATAGTTTTCATATAAAACATGTTAGACATGTCCATGTCTCTGTATCTATGTATTTAAAAATGAGAAAACCGTTATTGTGATCCTTGTAGTTTTACAGATAAAGCTATTGTCTTATTACATTACATTACATTACATGTCACTTGTTAGACGCTTTTATCCAAAGCGACTTACACACTCAATACTGTGGGCAATCCCCACAGGAGCAATTTGGGGTGAAGTGTCTAGCCCAGGGACACAACGACATGCTGACTGCAGTGGGGTTTGAACCTGTGACCCCCTGATCCGAACACCAACGCCCAAAGCACTGCCACACGCCTCTTAATCAAGCTATATCTAGTGTTTAGAGACATCATGGGACTAATATTTTTTCCTAAAATATAATGAAATATATGGAATAAAAACTGAAGTCCCATGTGCCCAAAGAAAGATAAGAGTATGATAAGAAAAACTCACTTTTCAGCCAAATATGTGCTCAAGCAAGTCCAGAGAACACTTCAAGGCATGATTTATGATTAGTTATAGGAAGGGAATTGAAGGTGGATGCTGACTTTCACGTGCTTTCTGATCATTGAAATAACTGTAGTTTTGTGAAGATCTAACTAAAATGACTTGTAATACATTAAAGATGTCCTTCAACATCAGCTGTGGCGAGTCCTGACTGCTGTGCAGCTCCTGTGGGGTTTGTGATCAGCAGTAAACTGACAAATCACAAGCTCAGCACAATTTACTCACAATAAAACAGTCCTCATAATTGACATCCAGCCAGGAGGCAAATTAAACCAAAACTGCACCTTTTCAGCCCTCTCTTCCTACACACCCTAATATACTGTACCTCTCTTTTTGTCTCATATAGAAGTATAGAAGAAGAAGACATCAGCCCAGAACTCAGAGCCAAAGTTCCTCCTCAAGCTTGATAGTTACGAACAACATTTTTTAAAGGTTTCCATGAGAACATTTGCAGAAAAATACAGTTTTCTTTAAAAGTGCCTTAAGCTTTAGAGACAATGATATGGTAATGAAAGTGAGTGGGCTTAATGTGAAGAAAAACAGTCAGTTTCATTTATGATGCAAAGAGACTGATCTCTGCAGTGTGGTGTACAGGATCAATCAATCAATCAATGTTTATTTATATAGCCCAATATCACAAATGTTACATTGTCTCAGTGGACTTCACAGTTTGTACAGAATATCAGTATGATAATATGACACCCTCTGTCCTTGGACCCTCACATCGTACAAGGAAACACTTCCAAAGAAACCCCACAGTTTAAAGGGGGAAATGGGAGAAACCTCAGGGAGAGCAACAGAGGAGGGATCCCTCTCCCAGGACGGACAGACGTGCAATAGATGCCGTGTGTAAATTGAAAAGATAATACATTTACAACATAGGTAGGCCAAATGTTTGGAAATGCATGTGTCTATAATAAGAAGATGAATCCACGAGGATGTCAACAATCCTGTGGGAGCCATCAGAGAAGTAGTATGATGAGAGTCAGGCAGGACCACAGCGACAGGTTCAGCCACGACTCGATATCCAGGACTCAGGATGCAAGACTCAGGATGCAGGACTCAGGACCACAGCAACAGGATCAGCCACGACTCAGGATCCCGGCGTAGATAGACACCAAAAAGAAATTTGGGGAAGCTGGGTTATTCAGAACATGAGAGTACACAGGTACAGACAGAGAGAAGGAAGAAGTAAGGTGTCCCCCGACAGTCTAAGCCTATAGCAGCAAAACTAGGGGCTGAATCTAATCAGCCCTAACTATAAGCTTTATCAAAAAGGAAGGAGAGAGTTGAGAGGGTGCTGAGGAATAATGTGGATAAAGTTAATTAAACAGCCAGACGCAGAAAGCTTCCTGCAGCCCCTAACCTTTGCTCTGCACTGCAGAAACAAATACATTTTACATGATGCAAATCAATCTGCCCCTTGAATGGAAGGAAACTTATTTATATCTGCAAGGTAGAAGAAATTAAATATAAAAGTCCAAGACACTGGACTGAACAGTGTTAGAACATGGCAATAATCAAAGCATGTCTGCATACATAGATGAACACTGTTATTATTCATGATACTTTGGGTTATCAATACATTACATTTCGTTTAGCTGATGTGTTTATCTAAAGCCACTGAAAATTACTTTTATTTGGTATTTTAAAAATCCCAAATAAACAGTTAGAAGAATGCCTAAACTCACATCTTTTATAGCATCACAATGCATAATTTGTAATTACAGAGTAACTTCATTGAAGTTAGTTTACTTAAAGGTGGGGTAGGTAAGTTTGAGAAACCGGCTCGAGATACACTTTTTGTTATATTCCATGGAATGCTCTTAACATCCCGATAGCAATGAATATCTTAAGTGCTTTGACAAAAAATCCATACAAATATTTCATCTGTGGAAGCCGTAGTACTGTAAAAAGTACGACCAATCTTGAAAAAACAAGAAAAAAGGAAAATAAATATAACTTGAACATGTTACTTTAGAAATCTTGATGAGAACTTGCTTTTTGTATTTATAGAACATAATGAAACACACAGATGTTAGAATAAACCCAGGTGTTACTGCCTCTTTTATTATTTCTGTCAGTATTGAGTTTGATCACTAGGGGGCGCCATAGTGCTCTCTCCACTGTGCTCTCTCCATGGTGCTGAAACAGTCCAGACTTCTTGCTCTACTTTAGTTAAACTGAACACACCCACAATTACACACAGTATAGACAGTGGTGGAATGTAACTGAGTATTTAATAAAGTAGGCTACTGTAGTTAAGTACAATTTTGAGGCACTTTCATTACTTAGTATTTCGATTTTATGCTGTTTATACTCTTGCTCCACTTCATTTTGGGAGCCAATACTGTACTTTTACTCCTGGTGTAGTCATATGTAGTTCTACAACCACGTTAAGTTAAAGATCTGAGTTCTTGTTCTGATTTTTACTTCTCTTAAAGTCTAACACAAAGTCGTTTTCAATGAACCAGCAACATATTTTGTATCTAAATTATATTACATTACATTTAGCTGACGCTTTTATCCAAAGCGACTTACAATAAGTGCATTCGACCAAGAAGATACAAACTTGAAGAAAACAGAATCATATAAGTACATCAAGTTTCATAGAGCCAAAACATTTCAAGTGCTACTCAACTAGCTTTAGATAAGCCAGTCCTTTATTAGTATATAAGTGCTTTGTTGGTAATTGTATTGCTCGAAGTGGAGTCGAAAGAGATGAGTTTTCAGTCTGCGCCGGAAGATGTGTAAGCTTTCTGCTGTCCTGATGTCAATGGGGAGCTCATTCCACCATTTTGGAGCCAGGATAGCAAACCGACGTGTTTTTGCTGATGGGAACTTGGGTCCCCCTCGCAGTGTGGGTGCAGCGAGCCGTTTGGCTGATGCAGAGCGGAGTGCACGTGTTGGGGTGTAAGGTTTAACCATACATGTAGGAAGGGCCAGATCCATTCGCAGCATGGTACGCAAGTACCAGTGTCTTGAAGTGGAGGAGCGGCGTGGTGTGGGAACATTTTTGGAAGGTTGAAGACCAGACGAGCCGCTGCATTCTATTAGTCAGAGTATTACATAACCAAGACCTATTTAATTATTTGTAGTGTTCTGCTTCCTTTGCAACATACAGTAATCTACAGTTAACACTACCATTACAGTATTCCTCCTTCCTCCTTCCTCATTGTCTTAAAAACCTTCGGATGACTCAGCAGTTTAGCTGGCGATAACTTTTACAGACTTGACTGCGTAATGTGTTGAATTAAACAAAACATAAAACATTTAAATGTAGCCCAGGGGAAGATTGTAGGTGTTTCACTTTCACTTATTGCTGCAGGTAAAGCTCCTATGAGACGGAACACACCTCCAGACCGTACTATGAAGCTCAACCTGTTACCACACCTGCTTCTGAAGGTAATCAGCTCCAGCTGGTGGGACTGCTTTCCTCCTCTCCATTCCTCAGCAGCACGTCATTTTATTCAATACACCTCGCATTAATTCGTGTTTTGGATCGATGGTAAAACAAACACTTGTTTTTAGTGATGCCAACACTCATGTCGTCGATGCAACGTGCAGCTGCTGCGCAACCAGTTTGTTTCTGCCTCCTTCTCTTTTTGTCGCATTGGATTTAAAGGAGAAGCGGAGTTATTGAATATGAGAGCACACTTATATATGTTGGCTGTTTTTCTATATCTGTGAGCTGTTTGTGACAGGAAGACATGATTGTCAGAAACTCGAATAGTGTCCTCCGGTGATTATTTTTTGGGGCGCCCACAGGGAGGTCCAGAGACACCCGGAGAAGATCCCTCCGGACAGCCGCGTTGGAAGGCGTCCAGCTGGCAGGCTGAGCAGGTAGGATGAATGAAACCGGAGGGGAATGGTGTTTGCAATGTCGTTGATTGGATGCAATGCATGTCACAGCCAAAATACTTCCACAAAATAAAATCGGTCGCTCGATACGGCAAGCGCCACTCCAAACTTCATCCACAAACCGGACAGTTTAATGTTGTGTGGCTGCTTGGAACCGACCGTATGTTGCACAGCACATTTCAAGACATTTTACACATTAAAAAAAGGAGTCGTTAATACGGCATAGCCTACAAGTAATTATGCAACAACTTAATTTGATGATACTTGGTTGGTTTAATAGTTAGTTCTCCTGCTAGCTCAACACTCCCTCAAATGATCTGCAGAGGCCAGTAGTCTGCTGTGCGGCTGCTTTGTGGAACATGTCATTATTTCTAAACGTAATGCTTCATGTGAAATGATGTGCATGCCGGATTCCCCTGGGGATCTAAAACATCGTACTGAGGAGAATAATGACGTTTAATGCATGTGTATTCTCTCAATAACCACGGCCACCTTAAATTGTTGAGTTATCTACTGGAGTTTGGTTGATTATTCGTTGAGAATTGGCCATGTGTTATTTATGATACAACTCAGAGCACTGCAGAGGAGCCTGTGTATACGTTTTTAGAACGAATGTTATAAATATAGCACATCTCTGGCCCTTTGCTTGGCAATACATATGTGGGTAACTTTATGACAAATTTAGGCTATGTAGAAGCTGTTTCACCAGAAGCTATTCAATTCTGGAATAGGCCTTTTAAAAAAATAAAAGCTATTGTAAAAAGGGCAACAAATCTGACTGCAAGGTATGCAAGGTATTTGTCAAACAAACATCAGTATTTATTTTATTTAACCCCCTCGTCATGTGAGGGGAATTGTTTGGGGTCCCACTACCAAGCTTAAGAGATTCTGCATGAGACATTTGCTAAGTAAAGTTATTTGTAGGGCTGATTTTGCACTCATTTTGTTCTGTTGATCAGAGTTCAGCAGTGAGTCATACGCACATGTTTTCCCTCCTGCAGACAGCAGTGCGCCTCAGAGCAGAGGACACAGTGAAGGGCAGCATCCAGAGACCCACCCTGCTGGATCATGGGAAACCAGACTGGGAGAGAAAGTCATGGCACCACAGGTACCTCAGTCATTTTACTGTAAGACCGACACTTTTAAGACTGGTGTCCTCCTGGTTCTGAGATGGAAAGTGATTAGCAATTAGATCCAAATGTGTCTTCTGACGGTTGTTGTCCTTTGGTATGCAGAGTAACAGGAGTCAGGACCCTTTACACAGAAGAGGAAGGTATAAGCTTTGTGTGCGTTTTATCTTTTGCGTTGCAAAATAATACAATTGAGGAATACTGAACTAATAGAGAAAGTGAGAACGTCATGATACGATTGTTAATTTTGGTTGGTATTCCTTGCTTTAACAAACATCAACATCATTGTGTACCTGAGGTCACCATCATTTCCAGAAAAGGCAAATACCATTCATTATATCCTTTTGTTTATCCAACAGATTAAACAGCGGCTGCTCTATCATGAGCATCACATTCCCGCTCTATAGATTTTACCCTGTTTGTGTCACATCCAGTCTCGTGTGAGATACTGTATGATCATAGAAACATCTCTTGACACACAGGAAGTGATGAATCCAAACTTTGCAGAGAACTACAAACTGTATCCCAGAGGAGACAATAAAAGTTGAATGGCGCATTCAGTGTCCTTCAGTTCAAAGCATCAGAGTGCAGCTGGGCTAAAGTGTCATAACGCCCCGTGCAGCCTTCCTGTTTTCTGTCTGAAGACCTTCAGCCTGCCACTGCTCAGTTTAATTATAATTCACAGCTGTTTAATATGCTGCTCCCTGGTTCCTCTCTGGGCTCTCACTATGCAGGAAGTAGGCTCAAGCTACAGGATGAAAATAGCTCCTAGCTGAGCAAACTACATCATGCTGCTGCCATAGAAATGATGAGTCGGCAGAATCCTGAAGCACAACGAAAGGACAAGGAGGGGAAGCCATAAAAACTCTGAGGCGATGAAAGTGTACATTTCTGTAAGCCTGCCAAGTTCTGTGTGCACAACATACAAGCATCATACAGAAATCACAAACCTTTTGGTGAACGTTAAGATATCTCAGGATACAGAATCCAAACGGCTAAACAATCACTCTAAACTCTTTTAAAACTGTTATTCAGAGGAGCATGGTTAATGCAGACCACAGGCAGCACTAATGATGGATCTAATCGCCTCCTGGTGGCGGTGAGAGCAGCTGTTAGATAGTAGATCAGGGAGAAATCGCCTCTGCTCCTCCTGGATGTTGCCACACGGGGGAAAAGTGTGTGAGTGTTTCTCCTGCCAAGACACTGGCAGCAGAGGCTTTTTGCTGCATCAGTTAGCCCAGGCCAGTAAATAAGGGAGCAGTGCTTTCATCTGCATCAAGGAAAAGAAGAGCACATAATAGATGACGTTCAGGCTCAGGAGTCATATTTCTCTTTTATTTCTCTGATGTTATTTTACTTGTATTCCTCCCTCTCAGGTTCTCCTTTAGATTTCTACCAGACGCCTCCCACCACGCCCTCAGAGGCAGATCTGGCGGCCATGGCCTTGTCCTCTGCAGCCTCCTCCAGTAAGGCACAGACTCCATCACCGGCCGGCAGCACCACCCCCTCCACCAGTTCTCCCCTCGCAGAATGGACACAGAAACTATCCGCTCCCTCAGAGTGGGCTGTGATCAGCGTGGACAGCATCAGCTCACAGACCAATGTGAGCGATGCAGCACTGAGGCAGCATGGGGGGGCAGCGGGCAGCCCCACCTCGCTGCCCCCGTCCAGAGGATCACCCTCAGAGCACAGCTGGCAGGAGAGAGACAGCGGAGTGGAGCCGCAGGCCGCAGCAGAGAGGAGTGAGGAGATGACGCTGGTGCTGCTCAGTCTGATGGAGCACTACAGGGCCTCAATGGGCCTGACCCCCAACACTGATGTCACCACAGGAGCAGTGGGTAGGGCCGCCATCTTCACTGTTTGGTTTTCTGAATGACTGTTGGATTTATCTTGTATGCCTCCTCAGTGAACAAGGAATCAAAACATGGAGAAAACTCTTGATGATTTAAATTACTGTTTACAAACCTTCACACAAGTATTTTTACAATATAGTATATTACAAGTCTAATTTATCCAGTGAAATGGTGCTTTCTTCAAAACACCACTATTTTTGCTAAAACCTTCCGATTATTACCATTTGGACTCGCAAACACGATTAGCAGTCCTGCGCTAGCTTGAAGCGGGTTATGTGAAATATTTAATTAATGCTCTATTCTACGGAGCCCCTAAAGGGACATGAAAAAAGTCGGGATAACGGGTTAGTTTCTCATGAGCGCAAAGAGCTTTTACGTACCGCCTACACTGTGTTCACCTTCATTTGAACAGCTAAAGAGTGACCGCAGGCTGCTACGTTTTAACCACACACACACACACACACACACACACACACACACACACACCTCTACACACATCGAACTGCCTGATTACTCCCCCTTTTAATAGTTTTATGAAGGAGATGTCCGGTCAGTCTGTTTGTGCTCTGCTCAGCTCCGCTCTTTGTGTGTGTGTTCTGAGTGTTTGTTTCCCTTTAAAACAGCTGCGGGCAGCAGGTACTCCACTCCAGTCAATAGGCGCGTTCACACCGGAGTACTTTTCCCACAATAGTTAATCAGAACTACGATATATTTGCGTTCACACCAAAAAGCCCCAGGAACTAAAGTAGTTCAAATTAGTTCATCTGACCCGCTTTGCAGGGACTGTTGTGGGAGAAAATAGTTCATACGTCTGATTGGCTGTGCGGAATGCAAACCACGCCCCGTTTAACTCTGAATTTTTTTTTGGAGCGGCCATTGTATTTGCTGGCATTATTAGCCCAGCGCACCAACGAGAGTACTTTTGTGAAAGCAGTTATTATGGCAACAATAAGAATACGAAAATCATCGGAGCGGTGGAGTGATGAGGATGTGTCGGCACGTCTGGCGATTTACTCGGAGGATGGGATCCAGCAGCTTCTACTGAAGGCAGTTTCCAACTGCAAAATGTATCAGCGTTGTTCGGTAAAGTTAGACGACATGGGAATCTTCCACAGCGCACACTCATGCCGGGACAAAATAAAGAAACTAAAACAGGACTACAAACAAATAAAAGACCATAATAACAGTGGTTAACGGCCGGAAGACCCGTAAATGGTATGATCGATTGGATGCTCTGTTCGGCAACAGACCCTCATTCTCCGGCACTTGTGGTGAAACGGCGGATTCAGTGGCCTGTGAATTGTCCAACGACGACTACTACGAAGGTAAAATAAACTACATGCACTGCACTGTTTTAATCTGCACAATACTGGTCTCAGATGTACTTTTATTTGCTCAGTAGATCGAGCTAGCCAGAACTGGCTAACACTGCTAGCCAGTTCAGCCTAGCATGGCTAATAACATCATTCTCGGCCGCTATGAAAACGTTTTTGACTTGTGAATAAGTGTGTAATGTTTTCTGTAATTTGCTTCACTAACTCATGGCACTAATCGTGTGTTTCAGGCGAGGCAGGACAACTCTCTGGATTGGAAACAAGTGAGCTTTCCCCTCCGGATCACAACAGCAGCACTTTCTCGTCTCCTTTTCAACCATCCAAACGCAAAAGTACGTACAAACACACTGTAACTACTCTGGTCTTGAAAGAACGTTACGCATCGAACTGATGTCCACTAATCACGTTTATTTCCTTTTTGGTACAATTATGAAACACCGTGAAAATACATCGTTTACACTTTTAGCGCCCTTTTCACTCTCATAAACATCCGGGCTAGAGGTCACATGACTGCCGGTAAGAAAACGTATCATTTTTGGACAAAGTTCAAGCGTACATTAAGCACTCTAAACAAATATAAAACAATAAATAAGGGCACTTTGAGCGTCAGCTATTTGATGCTATCTTCTACTTTACACCTGCATTTTGTACACTGTCCCTGTCTGCACCATGTCCAATGTTGTCTCTGTTGACAACCTACTAGGCGATTAAACTGATCTTGTATCTTGCTTATTTCTCCTTAGGAAAGCGGGCACGGGATGACAGCTTCCTTGACACCATCATGGCGATGGACTGCCGTGCCATGGTCAGCAAGGAGAATGAGGACCTGCGTGCCAAGGAGATGCACGACGAACGGCTGCTGCATTCACATAAGGCCCAGGAATCGGACGACCAGCTGCTCATGGTGATGGCGCGCCAGGTGGAGCAACAAAATACCTTTCAGGCTGGGCTTCTGGCAGTGCTAAGCGAGCTGATTAAATCCAACAGGCCTTCAATACAAAAATTAAGAAAAACTTGTCGTTGTTGATAAACTGTACAATGACTTGTTGGGAGGCGTGTTGTGCAGTGATCTGGTGCGTTGGTGTTCGGATCAGGGGAGCACAGGTTCAAACCCCACTGCAGTCAGGATGTCGTTGTGTCCCTGGGCAAGACACTTCACCCCAAATTGCCTACACCTGGGACAGTTAATTTTGTATTATTGTGATTATATATATATATATGCCACTGTTATTAATACTGACACCTAACTTTGCACTAAGGTGTGTCTGCTGCTGAGCCTACCTATTGTTATTTTATATATATATATATATTGTTTTGATACTACTGACACTTATTGATCTGCTGCTGATAAATAAAAGAGAACCTACATGGCGATTAAACAGATAATGTATCTTGCTTATTTCTCCTCTGACACTTTATCTTTACAGTGACCTGTGTAGCATCCTATACATCACATGTAAGTGATTATACTGATACCATCATGTTTTCATCGGTTATAAACTGGCGAAGCTTTATTTATTGTCCCACCCCAAATATGTGGCTTTGAAAAAGATCATTTCATTGTATTTCAAAATGGCGTCCAACACAAACACTATATATAGAAAGAGAAATGGTTAAGTTTGTAATTACCAGTGTTGTGAGTTCAATATTTTAATGAATTATAGTAAGGGAACATCTTAGGAGTTAGTGTACTGAGTTCCTCTCAGGAGGATATATAATAAAAGTGTGTTAACTGCTGAGCCTATTTACTGTGCAATACTTTTTTCCATAATCAGTTTTATTCATTTAGATTATTATGGACCTCTAAAACACATCTGCCACATCATTTGAGTTTTGACATACCACAACCAGCCAGCCAGTCTTAACTTTCATTGTTATCCTAACCCTCATAGAGAAAGAGATACAGACATGTGGTGTGTTGTCTTTTTTCACCTGTATGGTGCGGTTCTGGGCGACAACACACAGTGAAGATGATCTGCTGCACGGCACTAGCATCATGACTGTCATCATGTCAGTGCAGCAGTACACAGACTAACCTGTGTGTGTGTAACGTAGTTCTTCAGGTGTGTATGCTTAACATGTATGTATTTATCACAGTGAAGATGGTATACAAAAGCTTTTTAAAGAGCTTTCAACCTCATCCCATTGTCTTTAACACACATTTAACATAATAATATACTCATATTAATATACAAATATACAGTATGAGTACTGTTTTGATACTGACATTTTATCTTTGCACTAAGGTGTGTCTGCACTATTGTAATTTTGTCTGTTGACTGTAGTAAATAAAAGAGAACCAAATGCACTGTACAAAAGATCAGCTTTATTGTCAATTTACAATTTCCATGCTGTTCAGATGCCTCATAAGGGCTGTGCGCGTGTCTTGCCCCCCGGCGATTTTTTTAGGCACGGGTACACACTCCCGGTAGTTGGTGTTGAGTCTCCCCAACGTTGCTTCCAGGCGAATACAGAGAAGTTGAAAAGAGCCCTTGGACATTCGGAAATCTTTGATCCACTGCACATTGGTGTACGTTGGCACCACCTTCTCCCACCAGGCCGAGGTTCTATAGTTCACCCAGAGAGAGCGCGGGACACGACGCGTTCCGTAGTATTCGCATATCTGGAACACATACAAAGACACAAATTAGCCCTACATAACTCCATAAATCCTAGATAGTATTAATGTGATTTACTGAACGTACCATTGCTGTTCTTTGGGCGTGATAACGGTCATCATCCTCAGCTGTCCTACGGCGAAACATGTCCATAGTGTGTGCTTTTCGTCGTCCAATCCTTTTGTTAAGGCTTCTTAACTGCCTTCGCCTCCGACTCAGCATTTCTATTGCATTTGAATGGTCGATCTGTATTTGTATTTGTGGCTGAGTTATTGGCTTAAATAACTCAGTTACGAAGCTGTATAACACGAGCACTAAAACGTCAACTCCATACCGTGTCTGAGGTCGGAAGGTAAACAGAAGCATACAGCGGAAGCGGAAGTTCTTTTTCTTCTTCTTCTCTCGGTTTTTTGGCGGATTGCAACTTTAAGGTGCATACCGCCACCTACTGTACTCGCCGTGAAGTTGTTTGCGGCCTGCCAGTAAACCCAAAGCAGAAGAAGAAGAAGTGACGTCAGCGGCTCATTTGCCTAATCCACCCCCAGGAACTCATTTTGGTGTGAACGCGATCTGCTTTAGTTCATCAGAACTAAAAGAGCTCTCATGAACTAAAGTTCTCATGAACTGTTGTGGGAAAAGTACTTGGTGTGATTGCGCCTAATGGGTGCTATTCCACCAGACGCGCCGCGTTACGGCCCGTCCACACGGCGTCGTGCGTTGAAGCTGCAACGCTTCTTCCCATTCACTTTGCCGAACTGCATTGTGGTTCCATCGCTTCGCTTTGCTCGCGTTGCTCGCTTCAAAAGTTGAGAAAAGTTCAACTTTTGAAGGTTCAACTTTTGAAGGTTCAACTTTTGAAGCTTCGACGGAAGCGTCAGCCAATCAAATCATATGCCAGCAGGGCCGTCCCTGGCCAACTTGAGGCCCCACGCAAAGTTAGATGAGGCCCTCTGTTTCGCCGTGCCGCGCCACACTAATTGCGCCGCATAAACGCTCAGTTGAGGCCCCCTCCGCAAGATGAGGCCCCCTCCGCAAGTTGCTGACTGCAGTGGGGTTTGAACCTGTGCTCCCTTGATCCAAACACCAACGCTCTAACCACTGTGCCACATGCCTCCTCTCTGGCACCGCCACTGAGCCTGCAACCCCGTTTTGAAGAAATGTGCAGTGCAAAACAGGCTCATTGCAGCCACTAATGCTGTGATAAGACACACTTTTTTGCCAAACATCAGCATTTTCTTTCTTTTCATTTTTTTGCACAGATTGTAAAGTGGCAAAGTATTATAACTTATTGTTCTAGCAAAGGGATTGCACAATTGTATTCTGTATTTATTTTTTGACCACACAGACTTATGGAGCATTGTTTTATTATCACTGTTCTAGCAAAGGAATGCACACGTTCATATTGATGTATTTGAATAAATGTTAACTTGGCCCATTACGTGACTATTTGTGTTGGGGGGGCCCGACTTTTCTTTTCTCCAAAGGGGGGGGCTTGACAGAAAAAGTTTGACAACCACTGCTTTAGGGGCTCTGTACTATTCTGATTACAGTTGTTAGACTTATACATTTTCTCTCAACTTCGAGTGCTTATTTTTGTTCAACTTGTCTTTCAGAGCTGCTCAGGCGCTTTATAATGGAGAGAGATGAGCTGGTGGAGGAAGCGGACAAACTGAGAGAGACACTGAGGGTGAGTTGTAGGTCCCATTGCTCCTTACACTTTCCAGAAACATTTATTTGCTCTGTTTTTCAGACTTTACCTGACAACTAAGAAGTTATTGTGTTGGAAAAATAAAGAAAAACCAGAAGAAAATGTAATCATTTAGTTTTTCTTCTGCATTTTAGTCTAATAGCAAGTTTAGCAAAAGTCTCATCAATTGCTTGCTTTAGAGTACTGCATAAATACAAATATTTAAGTGGTAAGGGATCAGATGCACTAGTGATCTTTTGAGAGCCATGTCAACAACAGGCAGCTTTTAATATCAGGTCACATTGTTTATTTTCCATGTGGTCCTGTGTGTTTTGTCCTCCATGACAGACGGAGAGGTTGGAGTGGTATCAGTTCCAGAGTGACCTGCAGGTGGCGGTGTCTGTGGCCGACCGGCTGCGGGTGGAGTCAGATCAGAACCTCAGTGAGGTGCAGGAGAGACACAGAGCCGTGGAGCAGCAGCTGGATCAGGCCCTCAGCAGGCAGCAGGAGAGAGACACAGAGCTGGAGAGTCTGAAGGTCCAGCACCAAGACGTCTGCAGCAAACTGAGCGAGGTGTCCCTGCTGCGGAGACAGGAGCGAGCCGAGCTGGACGCTCTGAGGAAGGCATGCAGGGAGAAACACATGACGAACTGTGACAAACAGGCAAAAAGACAAGAATCTGAGGTGGGGCAGAGGGAGGAAATACAGAGAGTTGTTGTGGAGAAACCCTGGGAAGTTGAAGCCGACACTGAAGTAAACATTTTTGAAAAGCAAAAGGAGCAGACTGATGCAAGTCAAGAGGGGGAGGATCAAGATCACTCTGAGGAGGCTAATGGATCAGGCAGCACAGCGCTGAAGGGGAAAGGGGTGGCGGAGGGATACCTTCGCAATCTGGCTGTGCTGGAGAAGAAGAAGGATCCAAGGAGGATTGTGATGCTGTCTGAAAGATCTTGGTGAGTCTACTGAGCGCTCGCAACTCATTCACCTCTTTTAACAGGAGACTGTATTATAAAACATGCAACAAAAATATCTTTTAGGAGTCTCTCTCGTCTGCCACTCCCAACTGACTCCTCCAGGGAAAATGGGACCTCAAAAGAAACGAGCACAACACTGCCGCTATGCAAGGTACAACAACATATGTAGATGTAGAATATAATGATTATATGGAGGGATAATTGAGTGATGGGGATGTAAGAAATGGTTGTATTATTGTTAAATCACATTTGTAGAATCAGTCTGTAAACTTTTCCAGAGAGAGGAACCACCAAAGCCGAGGAGAACAGACCGGATCCTGCAGCGTCAGGACAGCTGGTCCAGCTTTTACACAGGTGAGCTTTAACCTCCGCACTGAACCACCTTTATGTAGTTATTTACCGTTTAGTAAGTGTACGGTTGTATGACTGTTGATTTGTTTGAATGTTGCAGGCAAACAGGACGAGGACCAAAGCACAGATTATATCAAGTAAGTTACTATAAGGCCGTTTTCTCATTTATTACTAATATTGACACCAAGATCTGTGGGTAAAATAGATGGAGGATGTTAAAGGTGGGGTAGGTAAGTTTGAGAAACCGGCTCGAGATACACTTTTTGTTATATTCCATGGAATGCTCTTAACATCCCGATAGCAATGAATATCTTAAGTGCTTTGACAAAAAATCCATAAAATAAATGTCATCTGTGGAAGCCGTAATACTGTAAAAAGTACGACCAATCATTTTAGCCGGCCCGGCTAAAATAACTGGATGGCCTACCTGCCTGTCAGCCTTCCATCTGTGCACAAACTTATCTCGTGCCCTCATTGGTCATGTGCGCGTTCGTGTGTGTTGGAGGAGGGGCTCTATAAGGAAGTGGCAGATTTTCTCCGGTTGTGTATTTTCAAATTCTAGCGATCTCGAGCCGGTTTCTCAAACTTACCTACCCTACCTTTAAGCAAGAATGAGTCAAAGCATCCATGAAGTCGTATGCAATCAATGACAATGTCATTATATGTGCCTTTCGCTTTTCTCTGTCAAATTGTAAGTGTATATAATGTTCTTTGTGTAATCAATATGTAAAGTTCAGTTAACGTTTTGTTAAACAAATGTAACAATATTCATGAAAATGTTCTTGTGTTGTCAGACCTCAGGATGGTTTCAGTGCTCTGCTGAGGCGTCATGGCGGCTCGAGGAGAAACTCCCTGCTGCGCTGGTGCCAGAGTCGTACCCAGGGTTATAAGGTGAGAGAGGAGCATGTCACCATTATTGACACATTTGTTTAAATCCTCACAGTCAGTAAAGTTTAAGAGGAACTCAGGGTGGGAAACAAAAATAAATGTTTACCAGTTAATTGTTGTCTTCATGAAGTGTGTTTTGTGGCAGAATGTTGAGATCACAAACTTCAGCAGCAGCTGGGAGGACGGCCTGGTGTTCTGCGCCGTTTACCACACATACTTACCAACGCACATCCAGTACGACACCCTCGACCCAGCACACAAGGTAATACTGTCGCTGTTATTTCTTAAAACAAAAATAATCACTTGTGTCGATTATGTTTTTTATAATGTTATTTATAAAGACTTTTGACTCGAGCACATGTATCGAAAGACTTTTGTGTAGTGGTGGATAGAGACAGAGAAGTATAGCAGCTATCAAAAAATACTGATAATCTTTAAGATATTAAACCTGGATGTACAGGTTATCAATCAAGAGTAAAATTCACTGCATGGACCATAAAATCTGAAAATAATATTTTGTACTCACTTTTTCTTTATCAACAACTATTATAAATGACGCATGTATAAAAGAAAAAACAATATGCTGGTGCTTTTTAGAAGAATCCATGTCTTGGAGGCATGTCTGTAAAAGCTACTTCTGAGTCAAATGTTTTTACAGAAGGAGAATCTGGACCTTGCTTTTAAGACTGGAGAGAGTTTGGGAATCACAGCCACACTGGTGAGACATTTTACACGATGCACTTCTGAAGCTTTTGGTTTCTACAAAAGTTAAACCTTTGGGGAGTTAGAAGTTGTGCATCTTAAACTAGCTGTTTTCACTGTCCTGTGATCTTATCTCTTCATGTGAATGTGTGACAGAGCGTGGAGGAGATGCTGAAGGCCGACGGGCCGGACTGGCAGAGGGTCCTCGGTTATGTGGAAAGCATTTTCCGGCACTTTGAGATGTGAAGTTAATTGTCTCTCTTCTTGCTCTTCCTTTACCATGATTGTGACTGAAGAACTGAAACACTGTTCATCACAATCTGCTCATAATGAACTCTGATCAGCCAGGATCAGAAAATATGTCGGCAATATTAAGACTTAACGGTGTGATTTTATGTATCAAATATAATGTTCATCACACAGAAACTTAACCTTGGGAGTATTTTTTTGTTTTTTAACTTATCTATTCATATCCAAATAGCAGCAGCAACAGACACTAAACCATTTGTCAGATTTAAAGTGAGTACAGGAAGCCCTAAATGCATAGCAGTCTTTTCTCCAGTGCCCTCGCTCATGACAGTAATGACACACATTGTCAGGCTCACGTGCACCACATACATACCCACTCTCTTGCCCAGCAGGTCTCACTGGACGACCAGACCACGCTCCCATACCCGAGGAATTTCCACCGTGACTGCCTTGTACGGCAGCACCTCCACCAACGTGTGTCAAAACATAGTCATCTGCTAATGCAGCAGCTTCAGCAGCTGTCCTGACTGCGTGCTCACTGATATACACTGCAATGTGCTCCGGTACAGAATTTTTGAATTGCTCCAGAATAACGAGATCCCTCAATGCCCCGTGGGGAATCAACGTCAGTTGCCGCACACCAGCGATCGAAATGGGTGGAAATATCCCGAGCAAACTCGAGGTGAGATTTATCACCTCTTTTCCAATTCCTAAACCTCTGACGATAAGCTTCAGGCACCAGCTCGTAAGCCTTGAGAACGGCAGATTTTACTAACTCATAACGCAAATAGTCACTGCCACTTAAAGACGAATAAGCCTCCTGCAGAGCCCTCCCGGTTAACACACACTGCAACAATAACACGCGAGTGGCCTCAGATCGTGCACATCTGCACAAAGGCCCTGGGGCCGTCACAAACACCTCGACTATTACTTTCACGTTGGGTGCTGGGTGCACTGGTTTTGCACTGATTGTAAAAACAAAAGAGCACTTTATTATTAATGTTTACTTTTGTTTCACTTTTTTGATTTCTGAATATGGGGCAAGTTTTAATTATCTTGACTTTATAGTTATTTTTTTATCATGAACCTCTCCCACCTATCATCATGTCTGCATGCACCCTAACCCAAGACAAAGGTAGGATGCAGACATGAGATTTTAAATGTTGGAATAGTGATGTTTTAACCTTAAAAACTCAAATGTTCATCAATGCAAAAGTTAACTTTGAGGAAATGTAAATATGTAAATGTGTGTAAGCGCTTCAGTATTTTTAGAAACATGGTAAACATATGAAGATGTTGTTGCCAAAGCCTTAATGCAATAATAAAGTTATGTGTATACAGTAGAAGCTGTTTTGTCCCTACACATTTTCTTCTTTCTTATTCTCTTATTAAAACCATAAAGAGATTAACAGAAAACATTTTAATATACAACAAGATAATGACATTTGATACTTCCGACAGCATATAAAAATGGTACTAAAATCATATACAAAAGTGGCATTAATGGAAACATGTTTAAGGTCAGATGGCATAAGAAAATACTCAAAATGTAACAAATAAATATTGAAACATTAAAAAGCAATAATTTAACAATGTTTTGCAAGGATGTTTTAAATGAAAGCATAATGTAGAGGAGTTTCATCCAATAAAACAAGTTTGTGTAATGAGTTTGAACCTAATTGTGATTACAGTATGATTGTGTTGATCCAAAGCATTTGTTGAAGCAACCTTGCATTTGTCAAATAAATGTATAAAAGTCTTATGAGGATGGAATGGCGCCTCCTATAGGAGGTGTTGACAGCGGAGGCAGGAGGAGAGACTTCAGTTTAACAGACATGGCTGCAATCTCAGGGTCCTGGGTTTCATACATCTTCACCAATCGGGCAAACTTTAGGACACCTGAAAGTGAAGCAGAGCCGACATAAAGGTGAAACAATATGTCATCTAAGGAGTATTGGAGTTTAAAAAGGTCCAATGTAAGGTTTAGTTTATGTGCACACATAGTCTCAAAGTCAACTTTATAGTCAATCTTTCAGTTTGTGTGTACAGACAGAGATCCTCCAATCCCGAGGAATATAAGAATTTAGGCAAAATTCGGAACAAGTAAAGTCCAATATTCAAAGAACTTCAGGGTTTTCTTTATGAAAATGCCACCTCTGCTCACCCTCTCCTTCGTTGTTGAAGCCGTACGCTTTGATGACCTCTTGTTGGATCTGGGTGGACACGGGGAGAACGAGCTGAAGCATCTTGCCCATGTCGTTGCAGGAACTTTCTCGAGCCTCCTCCATCCTGGCAGCGTTCTCCGGCACTGAGAAGGCCTGGATCACCTCACTCAGTACCACTGTGTAAGAGAAGACATTGGTTTATGCTATAAACATGCATTGTGTTGGTCTGTATTAAGTGTGGACACTCAAGCTTCCTGTGAGGATGTCAGGTGTAAATCAAAAGTTTTGTGACGATACATTATAATATCAAAATGTGCAGAAATCACAAAGTATACAACAATGGGATTTTGATTTTGACGTCACTGGGATAGAGACAATATCATATTTCTATCTTACATAATCAGCCTAAGTCTTGACATTGCACTGCAGCGTTTACAGCTTTAACGCTTGTTATTACCATACGTCGGTTTAACCAGCTGGAAGTCTTTCAGAAATGATGATATAGGGCATCTAGAAAAGACCATAAGATACAGAACATGTCAACTAAACAGATTATAGAAAGTAACTCTCACCTCTGGTCTGCTCCACAGTGAGGGTGGGCTGCTGTGCTGGAGCTGAGGCCATGTCTGTAGAGAAAAAAACAATGTAAAGAAAAAAGGAATTTAAATGGCACTAAAAAGACAAAAAGGACAACATGTAATAATCAAGTAAACCACAAAATTAATATACTACTTTTTTGTTAATCAGTAAGTTTCAAGTAAACCTGACAAATATTCACAAGTGTTAGCTTTTCCACTGCAATGATTTTTGCTGCTTTTCTCTGCTGAATGAAATGGTTGTATTCCGATCTATAGTTTTTTTTTTAAAGGCGTTGGTTAATATATCATTTAAAGCCGGATTTACATAACACTGGGGTCCTTAAAAAAACATTGATTTCCAGGCCTGTTGACAGCGTTTTGTGGATAAGATCCATTTGATTTGTTCTGCTGCTGTAAGTAATCAACAGGGTACACTTCCTTCTGGTAGTATTCATACGTAATATCTCTCTTATTGAATAACATAAGTTGCGGTTGGAAATACAAGACTGATGATCCTGGTTTATATTATATTTGACTATTTAACAGTTGTGTATAAATGCCTGGGTTAGCTAAGTTATAGCTGAGGTTAGCTATTAACATTGCTGTCAGACAGTGTGCTGTTAGGCAGGTTTTGGCCTAATGCTCCTACGCTTAAATGCAAGAAGTAAAGCTATGTTAGCTAATTTTATAGTTATATCATTAATACCAGTTTGGTTTTGATGATGTTTGGACGGTCGTAAATCCACTGTTTACTTTGTCTCTATCGATAGCTTTCACTGTAACGTAAATTACTGTTGGCTCAATGACGGTTACCAACAGCCTAAAACACATGTAACGTTTTAACAAGATTAACCATTGAATTTAAAAGAGCAAAGGTTTAAAAACTCACCACTGATTAAAGAAATGTAGCTAGTAGCAGACCTGGGAAACCTAGCTGGAAAATGACACTTTTTACGACATTTGAAACCTTTGTTACGACAGTACGTCCTTCTTTCTTTCAGACAGACCCGGATGTAAAAGGTAAACAAACGCTTCGCTAAACTAGTAGCATGATGACATCTCTCCAAACATGTTGTTAAAGTAGCAGTAAACGTTTATGGTAGTCAACGTTATTGTATTTGACATCGTGTAAAGCTTTATTGAAGCAGCGCTAATACCAGTGAAGTTGTGTATTTTTTATTAGCGCCTCTTTTGCCACGTACACCTAATTTGTGTTATAACGTCAGTGTAAAGGAGCTGGCGTCATCGATGGAGCAGAAACTGGCAGATTTCAGAGCCAGACGACAGGCTGAACATACGATAAAAAAGGATGAAGATACTGTGAAAAAGGGAGAGAGTGCCAGTATGAAGTGCAGAGATCAGACCGAAGAAGACACAGCTAATCTGATTGATTCAACCAGTGACAGCGAACACACAGAAGAGGATGAAAACATCAAAGCCTCAACTCAGATCCCACCAAAAAAGGTGAGACATTTCTGTGTTAATCTTGCAGTTGGATTTCTGTTCAAACTAAGAATCGGGTGATATGAGGTTAATTAACTGTCTGGTTCAATTCCAGTAGTGGAATGATACTAAGTGCATTTACTCAAGTCGATGGTCTTGTGTTTTACTTGAGTATTTCCAATGTAAGATACTTTTAACTTCTGTACATCTCAGAGGTAAATATTGTACTTTTTATTTCACTACAATTGTATGACATCCTGATTCTATTTTTTTTCAGATTACATTTTGTTCATTCTCTTCAAGTAAAGTAAAAATAAATGTATCTCCACATCGGGTGATTATGATTTTGTTGTTGAAGTTGTGTTGAACCACATTGATCTTTTTGAACCTGTTCTGTCTTCTCTGCAGGACCACAGTGATTGGCTTCTGGACAGCGCTTTTGGAAGATGGCTGACATCGAGACAACTTGGCTTGACAAACCTTACTTTGCTTAAAATACTGCTGTGGCTGGTGCTGCTCGGCCTGTTTGCTGAACTGGAGTTTGGCCTGCCTTTCTTTGTCCTCTCACTCTTCTACTGGCTCTATGAGGGTCTCAGGAGCCCAGCTGCACGTGAGCCTGGAGAGCTGAGCGCTTACTCTGTCTTCAACCCAAACTGTCAGCCTCTGATGGGCACGCTCACTGCAGAGCAGCTGGAGGGAGAGATGGGTTACCGCACTCTGACTAACAGAGCAGCACTTATATATTGATGATTTCCAATAATCACAACTTTTTGTCCATTTAAAAATGTCCTTTGTATTCACGAAAAAAATATATTGTATGCAGGAATAATGATTTAAACTGACTATTTCTGTTTAACTCATGAAATTAAGATCAGTCTGCTAACAGTTGTATTCCTGTTTCTATTCTTTGAAGCAGTTTAATTGACTTAATTGTGGGAGGTGGATTTGCTTTAAAATGAATATCAATTGAGTATACAATTACATTGGTGACATTCTTTTTGAAAATATTTTTTAAATCCAATATTTACCTCCGATTCCTCTTCTTATGAATATGGATTTTGTAGAAAATGTGGGAATGGTATTTGGGAGTTACATTGGAAAAGGGCAAGCTCCTACTGATTTATATGAGAAAAACGTTTGCTTTGAATAAAAGGATTTTAAAGTGTAATAAAGAAATGTAATATATCAGCCAGCATCTTGTCTCTCTCTGTCTCTGTGCCTTCAATTTCACAAATTATAAACACCACATTCACTTTTGTACTATTACCTTTTTACTGTTTATTTTTGAACAAAATGGTTGGATGAAAATAAATTATGTTTTGTGACGGATCATTAATAAAACTAATTATGTGTTACGCGGCCGAAAAGACAACGTCTAAAAAGATGAGAGAATAAACAAAGAACAACTTGTTATGCCGAAGCAAGATGTTTCCCTCTCCCATCTAATTCCGCATTCTCTGATCGTTTCTGTGTTAAACGAGGGCCAACAACACTGACACATTTGGTTTTTAAAGACACATATAATAGTTGTTTGTTTTAATTAAGCCACTGTTAACATCCTTTTTGTTCACATTGAACGTATTAGCATGTGTCTCGAAGTCATGAGACGCTATCTTGCTATTGGCCTCTCGGCAGGTAACTATCTTGATTATTCGTTTGGCTCTTTGGGTCGATAGTGTTGCACTTCCTGTATCTCCGAACTTCAGTTTACTGAACCCGTGAAGACTGTTTGGCGGCTTCTCCTCTATCATCATCAGTAAGTATTAAACCTTCAATCACCATCACCACTTTTCTACTGGATATTAATAAATCATTTTGGATAATTGTCGCTGAACCGGCGTGCTAGTACCAACCATAGACTGTATATATAAAGGTATCAACAGCAGCATGTTGGCTAATTAGCCAGAAGTGCAGAATGTCCTGTTTATTGTGACTGATTACAAGGTTGTTTGTAGTTAAGGAGCCGTCCTAATTGCTCTAAAAAATATGATATCTCATTCACAGATGATGAGAATCCAAGCTAATGACACAGTTCATTTTGTGAAGTGGTTAGGTGGTTCCATTCATTGCCACTTTCTGCTTGACTTTGCTCGCCTCGTCCACTCCTTTGATACACAATGATTTGCCTTATTAGATAAAGTGGCTCCTAGTTAAATTAGGCTTTGTCTTTCTTTGTGGATAAGATATGAGAGTTTGCAGTTCTAGCATCATTACTATTACAGTCCCTATACTGCTGATCCAACTCAGCCAACAGTGTTGTATACGTCTCCCCTCTAGACTTTAATTATATGGTAAACAGTGTGAAACTTCCTCAAGCTCTTTTAGATATGTTTCCATGCTTTCTCATTTATCTGGGACTGATGCTAGTCGACTCTACACTATGTTCTTTGTTATAAATAATTGCCTGAATCTGGCTGTGGTATTGTTTATTTTAAACATTCAACTGTATAGTCTCTTCTGTGTGTATTATATGCATGTGGTGTGCCTCAGGGTTCTTTATTGGGTCCTATTTTATTTGCTTGTAGGTCATATTATTCACAAATGTAAAGGTATCTCATATCACTGTTTTGTTGATAATGTGAAGCTTTGAATGCCTAGGGGAAAGAAACTCAATAGTCTGTCTGCAATGTCCAAAAAACTTCACACAGCTAAATGCACAGTCAATTAGGGATATGTATTACGATATACAATATAATGTTATTTGATCAGACTTTGTACCACAATCAACACTGGACTTACTACCTATTCACTTACCACTTTCTATTTATTATTCACAGAAGAGGGAGATTTTGATGTTTTAAGGCAATTTGCAAGAGGTGCTAAAGATGCATACCTGTAAATGTTTTTTTTAGTATGTGTCCACTAACAACTGTCTGCTCTGTCGATCAGCAATGTCTGCAAGTCCTGCTGTGTTGATGCGGCTCGTGGCTCGTGCCTTCACTGTTGCTGAAAAGGCCGGTGCCATTGTAAGGAAAGTCCTTCACAGCGGAGAACTTGGCATTGTGGAAAAGGTGGGACCAAAAACCGCAGAAAATTTTAAAATGCATGTCCCCGTGAAAACCTTTTTTTAAATACTGACCTGTTGTGGAGATTCTGAGCCAGTTATAATACAGGTAGTATATTATAGTTGTATCCTTTTCTGATGTCCCCATGCATAGACTGGAGCCAATGATCTGCAGACACTGGCCGACCGACTGGCACAGCAAAGCATTTGTGCATCACTGTCCAGAAGTTTCCCCAAAATCACCATCATTGGAGAAGAGGTGAGTAAATTAGACTCTTTGTTGAATGTGTTGGTCAAATTAGCACCATGGACACCCCCACCAACAAGATTATTTCATAGAAGAAGAGTGAAAGCCTGAGTTCTTGTGTATCACTTGCTGATTAGGACCTTCCACCTGAGGAGATAAAGGAAGATCTCATTGAGAGCGGCCACTCGGAGGAAATCCTTCAGAAGACATGCCCAGCAGAATATAGAGATCTGAAAGAGGAGGAGGTAAGGGTCATCAGATTAAGAAAAAACATAAATATTCCAGTTATCATAATTGGATTTCAGACAATGCATTAATGTACGTTTTTCTTCTGCATAACAGCTAGTTGTGTGGGTCGATCCTCTCGATGGCACAAAGGAATATACTGAAGGTAGGCTCTTCAAATATGCTTTTTTAAATAATCTGCCTCCACACATGTGCTTTTGTGTTCTGTTCTGGGGGCGGAGACATTACTGTCAAGTTCTGCTTACTGAAACTCCTTGAACAAATACCTTTTAAGTATTCAATTCGAAATGAAGGCAAAGCATAACCTCTTTTTTTAAAGTAATTACTCTTACCTTGAAAGCAGTGGTGGAAAGTAACTTAGTATATTTACTCAAGTACTGTAGGTTTTGTTACATTTGAAGTGGGTGGCAGCAACATAAACACCATTGTGATATAGTTGCGATATGGGCTGCTTTCTGGCTTTTGGCTCTTGGAGCTTCACTATCACTTTTCTTTGGCTTCTTTATGTATTCTTGCTTCTTCTCTCTCTTTCTCTGCTGACTCCAGCGTCAAAGAGTCTCCATCACCAAACTGAGGCCCAGATACCAAACAAAGTGTTGGACACCTCTCACAGCACAGCTCTCTGTATGGAAACTGATTAAACCGTTAACCCTGTCGGTGTATAATGGAGGCGTGTGGTGCAGTGGGTTGTGCGTTGGTGTTCGGATCAGGGGGTCACAGGGTCACAGGTTCAAACCCCACTGCAGTCAGCATGTCGTTGTGTCCCTGGGCAAGACACTTCACCCCAAATTGCTCCTGTGGGGATTGCCCACAGTATTGAGTATGTAAGTCGCTTTGGATAAAAGCGTCTAACAAGTGACATGTCATGTCATGTAATAATGTTAATTACTCTGCAGTAAAACTGATCGATTCAAATGGCTTTCAGGACTAAAGCTGAGAAAGAAATGGAGAAATAAAACTAAAGTTATCAGATAAATGTGCAGGATAATATGAAAATAAATTAATATGCACAGACATTAAAAGATAAATAAAAAATATATATGTATTTGTCTAATAATGCTTATTTTTGTATGAACTAATTTTAACATTGCTTTTTTTGTTAACATTTATTTCGTTTTTTCAATTTATTTCCCTCTTTATTTTTATATTTAAAAATGAGATGGCAACCCTAAATGTTGTCCCTTATCTGTCACCTACCAATTTATGTATTTTCAATTAAATCTGCAAATTTGTTTCCACATTTCCACAATTATACCCTTATTATTTTCTGTCTTAATTTCTTTCTTTCTTCATTATAATACCAGCTTCAATCCCCCATATGTATCTGACATCCTGCTGTTTTCTGATTGAAGGTCTGCTGGATAATGTGACGGTGCTCATTGGTATTGCATACAAAGGCAGAGCGATTGCAGGTGTCATCAACCAGCCTTTCTACAACTACCAGGTACAGAGCGAGCTAAATTAAACAAGATAAGTCCCAACAGCTCTCCTTCCCTTAATCCAAATGTTTTTCCTCGTCAGCTCGGAGCAGGAGCACCTTTAGGAAGAACCATGTGGGGAATGCCGGGATTGGGCGCTTTCGGATTTCAGCTGCAGGAAGTTCCCGGTGACAGACGCATCGTTACCACGACACGTTCCCATAGCAACAAGCAAGTGACGGACTGTGTGGACGCCATGGAGCCTCACGAGGTTATAAGAGTGGGCGGTGCTGGGAACAAGGTGAGGACGATTTAGAGGCAAAACTGTGAGGTTATCACTTGTGAACTAGGATTTTACAGTTCTGTTTAGGCACGACTTGTACATTAATTACTTTGACGTTTTCAATGAAAAACATCTCTACGTCTTTGGTTTATGTCATAAAAAGTGTTGTTTTTATGACATAAATCGGATCAGCAAGGCTTCTTCCTCTAAATCTCTCTTAAAAAGGAACTTTTTCACATTTGCTTTTTTCTTAAATCAGTTATTCTTACTTTTATTACTGTTCATACATTGCTTTGAAATATGTCTATCAATTCTACTTTTATTTATTGACATGTACCTTTTTATTTGTTGTCTTAATATTCCGGTTATAAATCTTGATGGTTTTAAATACGATTTTAGTCAATAAAAAAAAAACCGTAATGATCATTAATATGCTGTCAAACGTCAGACTAACACAAAGCAAAGTTTTGTTAATGATTGATTTTTTTTTTATCCAGAGTTAATGAAACATTCATTGTGTTATTTGCCTTCTTATCGACCAAGAACTTGCTGTACCGAATTGACCTTTGTCCTGTGCCTGCAAATGTTTAAATGCTTACCGCTTGATGATTACGTTTTGAGTTCAACCCCAAACCTATTTGGGAGTCAGCCAAAGTGGTCAGAGAACCTGGAGTCTTATGACATATTCAAAATAGCCTTTTCTGATGTGTATAGAGTGTGTATTTATCACATCATCTCTCTGCAGATAATCCAGCTTGTTGAAGGAAAGGCTTCTGCGTATGTCTTCGCCAGTCCCGGCTGCAAGAAGTGGGACACCTGCGCTCCAGAAGCTCTACTGCACGCTGTGGGAGGTATGACCAATTTCCTGAAATCTGTTTACACCAAACTAGCATTATATTTTGTAGCTATGCAGGTTCAAATGTAAGCTTTTTACAAAATGCATAGTTTACTAGTGCTTGAAATGTGTCTGAAATGTTTTTATTTCTAAAGCTTTCCTTTATCTTGTGCAGGGAAACTGACTGACATGCATGGCAATGCATACTGCTACAATGCTAACGTAAAGCACATGAATTCTGCTGGCGTTCTTGCTACACTACGCAACCACGAGTACTACGTCAGCAGAGTGCCGCAGTCCGTGCTGCAGGCCCTGAAGTCAGATTAAGTTCTGTCTTCATCAGAAGTCACACTAATGAACCTCTGTCATGGTTTAAAGCACTTACACATCTAACCACAAGTGCAGGAACCCTCTGTATTTAAATGAGTTAAACGTCCTAAAATCAGAACAAATGATATGATTTGAAAGTCACATTAATCCACCATGTTTTTGTGTCATACATTATTAAATTAACCAGAAACAGGCTCAAGAGCACTTCCATTTATTTCACTCGTTTCAAACAAACTTTACAAAGCTCAGAACGTCTTTACACACTGTTTCCAACTTGAAGACCAAGAGATTAACAAGGCAAAAGGCAAAGATTTAATAAATAAAAATACATCGGTTAAATGCTTATTAAGGAGTTAAAAATGATTAACTTCAATCAATAACCACGTGGGAACACTGTGATATAACTAGCCAACAACAAACAAAATGCCATCGTCCTGCCTTGATGATTTTGACCTCTTTACAATGTCATGCGATGACTGGAAGCGCAACAATGTTCAGAGAGAGAGGTCGAGATCTACTGCTGTGATGATGAATATACTCAGAACTATCTTTGAATCCCGTACTGTCGGTTTCTGCCGTGGTCTTCATATCCGTCTCTATTTTTCTACACACCTACTGTACAAACCAGACTGAAGGACACAAACTCAAAGTGCTTACCGTTTGTTTCCCACATTAAATTGACATCTGAACTTAAAACAAAACTTGAACACTATTGCATTTCTGTGTTTCCCCTTTTGTTAATACCAAGTGGTGTTAGGGATAGCAAACCGTTTCAGAGCTTGGAAATGCTGATCTAATGTAGAGCAGCTGTACAGGAATGCTAGTTAAGATACAGCATTTAGCAGCTGTGTCCTTTTCTAAAGTTCAAATAGGCTTTAATGGCCTGTGCACGTGTTCATGTTTGCATATGACAAGATGTCTTGCAATATTTCTTGCACTTGCACCATCAACATATTGACTGATATCTCTTTGGGGAAAACATTCTGAAGTCGAAGGGAAAGTCATTCCAATGTCTAATTTGCTGTTCTTAAAGAATAATGTGACATTTTGGGGAATGTGGTTACTGGCTTTCTTGCTGAGACTTAATAAGAAGATGGGTACTTTATTTCCGTTCAATAAATATGAAGCTTCAACCAGCAGCTTGCTAGCTTAGCTTAGCTTAGCTTAGCATAGCATAGCATAAGAACTGTAAACAGGTAGTCAAGCTCTGTCTAAACGTTACAAAATAAACCTACTAGAACTTCTGAAGCTCACTGATTCATATGTTATATCTTGTTAGTTTACCCCAAACAAAAAAAGTGTTACTGATAAAGAAAGTGTGTTAATTAAATATTAACACCTGTTTACAGTTTGTGTGCTAAGCTTAGTCAGCTGCTGGTTTGAGATTAATATTAGACAGTCGTGTTGACCTTATCTAACGTTTTGCAAGAAAGCATTTTCCTAAAACGTCAAACTATTCTTTTAAGCTGTGTACTAGTTAAGCTTATATAGGAGTGGGCACTGGCAGTAATTCAGTAATTATATGAAAAGTAGACAAATCAAGGTGAGACACGAAAAACAATTGGCCTCGTTTTTACATTTTACATCGGCTAGGTCAAAGTATCCGTCTCAATCTCACAAGCGTGCATGCATTCACAAAATCACTATGGAAATTGTTAATGTGACGGCAGAGAAACATATTTCTTAACATCCTGCCCATTCCACAAGGTTTAAATATTGCTGAATGGGGTGAGTAGCAGAAGTGAGTGATACATCAAAAAGAAATGGAAAGAAATACCACTCACATGTTCATAAAAATACCCACAGAACAAGCAAAAAACACTCCTGGAGTTTTTGTTTACACATGAACAAGCTGACTGAGAGAAGGCTGGAGTGTTTGAGGCAGCCTGCGGGACGAGGGGTCAGAGACCAGCCGGGGGGGGAGGGGCCAGCCGCTCACCTCTTTTTAGGTGCCTGAGCGGTGCGAGGGGGGGTGACAGGGCGTCCTGTATTCACCCCTCCATACTGGTACTTTGCTTTTTTTTCTGACGGCTTCAGGATCTGAAAGAAAGGAAGATTAAATTCATTAAAAAAAAGGCATGGTTTGTTCTCTGTGCTCTTTAAAAAGGCACCAGACTGCTTTGACAAAACAATAACCAGGCAGAAGACGGGGTTGGCTGATCTACCAATGCCTCTATCAGTCTGTTTATGTTTGTCATTGTTCGACTTAGGTCAACCCAAACTAACCCTTTAGTCATTTAGTCACTAAATAACAAAGGAAAACTAACTGATAGAGGCAGCGCTGGACCAGCAAACCCTGTTTGGGAAGTTTTAGTTCCCTGTCTTGAGGCAAGATCAGTGAGTTAAAAATATTCAAATTAGTGAATTCTCATTGCTTAGCTTCCGTGCTGGTTCTTCTGTCTGTTTCTACCTATTGTAAGTCATGCACTGACTATAGATAATTGCCTTATAAAACCCAACTTAAACAATCCAAATGATCCCTTTAAAGCATATCAGGATTCATGTTGCGGTACAAGAGTTTTTTGTTACCTGAAAGGAGCACATGAGGGACTCGTCCACACTCATCATGCCGCCTGCGTTGTCAAACTCCCCGCAGTAGTTTGGGGCGGAGAACAGCGTCACCAGCTGTCGCTTGGCAAAGAACTCGTAGCCGTCTTCAACAACCTGTAAGGCAGCAGAATCAGTCAGGTTTTCAGCAACATAATGCTTTGGTTCTACCTTTGCAGGTGTGAATGTGTTATATTTGCTAATACCAAACCCAGCGATTATATAACTCAATGCAGAGACTTAAATAAGATAAGATAAGATGGACCTTTATTAATCCCCGTAAATACATATTTTCTTAAATACTCAAAAAGATGTGTGTTTATTACGAGGTATTTCATTGACTGGTCATACTTTTTTTAACACATGTGTCTCTTAACAGAAAATGACCATCACTTTAGAGATAGAAGCATTTAAAAAAACGTTACATATATTTATACAAGTGAGCTGCTACATTAGATCAGTGTGTTTTATGAATATGTTAATCTGAACAAATAATCAACACTATTTTTTTGTTTTTTTCTATGCAGGCTGTAATGTATTTACACTGCACAGTCATGAAATTATTTTAAAAAATAAGGTTATTTCACTTTATAAAAGTTGAATTCTCCATGGTGTTATTTTTTATTGTAGCTGTGTAGCGTTACCTGATGTGCTCTGCAGATGAGGTCCAGGTCGTGACGGTTGAGAAACTTGCTGACCACATCGGCCCCGAAGGTGAAGGACACTCCCCGGTCGTTCTCTCCCCAGCCCTGGACGTCTTTGTCTGGGTCGGACCACAGCAGGTCACACAGCAAGCCTGGAGCAAACAGTAAAGACAAGCAGTGATCACTGATGGAAGTGTATTAACACTACTACTACACAAAGGGGTTATGGTTATGGAAAAACATTTTTTAGCACTCATTATGAGCAGTTAAAGAACTTTGAGCAATCTAACCAGTATATAACAGTATTGAGAAACACCCAGTGAAAGATGCAATCAGCTGATTAAGATTTTGTCTCGCTTTAGTTCAGACGTAAATACAACCGACCTGTGTCTGGGACATCAGTGGGTCTCATGATGCGTCGAATTTGTTCCATGGACTGTAGATCAGGTGAGAGCCCTGAGGAGGAAAAGAAGATTGTAATAAAATCGACACGCACTACAGAAAATCCTACAAAATGTTTTATTTGTACTAAAGCAAAATGGTCTGGGTTGAGTTGCAGGTAGTGATGTCAGAACGTATTATTTAAATAAAACTGTATTCTCAATAGCATCATCATTAATATTGCATCATAATTAAGATGTGTAGATACTTCTGGTGTATTTTAAGTAACTATAATAGTAGTATAGAAAAAAATGTTGTATACTCTAATTTAAGTATTATAAAATTGGTAAAACTTAAAAATATGACTCCCCTCATTAAATACCGAATGCTTATAAATAGCGCCATCATCTTTTTAAAACTTGTGTAGACTCTAAATGAATTTACACAGAGACACGTGTATTATCCTCATTATTCAGTGGCTGCTACTCTACAGAAGTGCATCACAAACCTCCATGGCAGCAGAAGATCTTCTCATCAATGATCGCAGCAATGGGCAGACAATTAAAACAGTCTGTGAAGGTCTTCCAGAGCTTTATGTTGAACCTGCGCTTGCCTGAGAACAAAAACATACAGACAAATCAGAAAATGAGCAAGTGAAAAGAAAACTCTTCAACTTACTGGATTTCTAAATTCAGATTTGCTTTTATGTTTTTACAATAGGCCAACTCACAATAAGGACAGTGATCAATATGCATATATAGCAAGGGCAGTGTGTTTTCCAACTTACACTCATCATAGAATCCGTAAATGCGATTGATGGAAGCACACTCGTGGTTCCCCCTGAGCAAGAAGAAGTTTTCTGGGTATTTGATCTTGTAGGCGAGCAGCAAGCAGATGGTCTCCAGCGACTGCTTCCCTCTGTCCACGTAATCCCCCAGAAACAGATAGTTGGCCTCTGGAGGGAAGCCTCCATACTCGAATAGCCTCAGCAAGTCTGTGTATTGTCCATGGATATCACCTGGAAGGATATGTTCAGTTCATTATCCAATACATTAACAATAACGCAAATAACATCACAATCCAGAGTTTCCGTAAAATATGCTAAAGACCGGCAAATCTAAATCTCTCCGGTCAAAATGTCCGGTCAACATTTTTTTCCCTTAGCACAATACCGCATCAGTTGCGCCACTTATGTGACAGACAAGAATAGTATGTGACAGACAAAAGAGTATGTGACAGACAAGAATAGTCAATTCTAATGTCTAACACTTAATGTGGAGAAAGAGATGTCCTGTATGGGTTGATTGTGCGTTGATCTGTTGGTAATGCCTCCGGGTTCCAGTGGGCATGTAAACAAATGCATAATACTGCGCTATACTTTGCGGCCTCGCACGGTTGCATAGCGACGCTTATTGTTTAGGTGTCTTGATAAGCAGGTATATCACTAGCTAGAACTAGCTAAATCTGATCGATATGGACATAAACACGAGTGAAGTCTAATCTGACGGGAGAGAGATCAGCTGCTGCTGACGAGTCGACACGCAGCTCTGCATGAACACCTGCAGCGGTGAGCTGAGCAAAACACACTTCAGGTTAGAAAATCACACGTAGCTATTTTAATTACCTCTCAAACTACCTAAACTAGTTATAGATATGTTTAGTTTTACTGTCGGGTCACTCATTACTGGATCCGCGAGCTGCATGATACTGACGGGCTGTCAGGAAAGGGAGAGAGCGCTCCGTTTATTATTCCCGTGTTATTATAAGTTACTGTACACTTTTGAATAATGTAGTTAATCTACTATAATTAGTTTGTTTAATATCGAATCATATCAATTTGTTTTAAAGCTCAATATATAACAAAGACCACCTTTGACCGGCACTTTTCTCATTTTGTCCGGAAGATTTCAACTTTAACGGACATGTTGACCGGCAAAAAAAAGTTCTAACGGAAACTCTGTCACAATCTACTTTTTGGGGGGGATTTTGAATCTAAATTAACATCGTGAAATTCCAAAACAGATTATATAACGTTTTAAATAAACCTTTAGCTACATTTGCACAAGGTCCTGACATTTTCAGCAACTGAGCGGTTAACTGCGGCACTTTGACAGCACAATCTGGTAGTTACATATTAGTATTTTATGTGACATCGCTTGTCAGCAACCATTCATGACATAAGAGGCAATTTGGCCGTTTGTGCTCCGATTAATTTTTCCAGTCATAATTTTGTTTTCATGAATACTCATCTTCTGACATCTACTCACTGGTTTAGGAAAAGACAACTACATATTTTTTTGTTTTCTTTTCAATAAAAGCTTTTGTGGAACTGATTTTCATGAATGCCAATCACGGTCACGGTAATTTTAAAAAGCAAGAGACATTTTTTTTTTTTTTAATGAAACAAAATTTGGTGTGGTGGTAGGAAGTAGAATAAGCAGCCAATGCACCTACCTTAAAGAAGTCAAACTAGGGCAAACACTTCAAACATTGTGTGCGATTTGATTACAACAAGGCCTCACAAACCATGTTTTGTCATTAACACTATGCGTTTTCTCTGCACCTTGCACTGGAGTATATATGTAAACAAAAAATGGTGGCTGTTGACAGTTGCAGTTCTCACCACAGATTTTCAAAGGAGCCTCCAACTCTAGCAGGATCGGCTGACTGAGGAAAATCTCTCTGGACTTGATGCAGAGCCCCCGCACCTCAGCCTCTGACATCTGCACCACCTTCCCTGGACGACATCCTCGCACTGCAAGGCAAAATAACCCAGAGGTCAACACAGGATGATCCTTTAAGATGGGTGAGTAAGTATTAGATACCAGACATTAGGGGAAATTAAGCATGAATCTTAGAGTCAAAGCATGTTTCAATCATGTGCTTTTCTTTAGGCAATGGGGTTAGCTGCAAGCCCTTTTGTGTAATGTTGTATCCCAGTGTGCCATTAAAGAGAGCTGACCATTGCATTTGCTTTGCTACTGGCCAGACATGACATTTACTCCAGTCAACACAGGTTGTTATGAGCTGGCAAATACAGGAATGAACAGCTTGTTGGCTCAGCTGGAAGTGAGTATGTTAAGGCAGTGTGGTCCAAGCAGGATAAAAAGTGTAAAGGGCTTCATGTAAAAAGAATAAACAACAGACTTGTTTGTTAATGTTAGCGTAGGCTAAAAGTGCACATTGATGTCTTAACCCTTAGATGCACGAGTGGCTGGACCCGACACTCTTCCATAAGTGGGTCAAAAAGGACCCGTATTAGAATAATATGTGTTTTTATGCCATTTTTGTCATTTTGGCTAAGAAAAATCACTTGTATTATATTTAGTATTATATTTTGGTTCACACTAGAAATATTTTATATTTAATCTTTCACTATTTATAAATTTTAGACATTTTTTTTACATTTTGAAAAAATCGTTTTGAACATATTGATGCAAAGATCTCCGCTATTCTGAGACCCTCACAGTATTCCAGTCCCTTTTCAAAACTCATCTCTTCTCCTCTTGTCTACTCATAGCCCACCCCCCATCAATCCATGCCGGTTGATCAAGTTTGATAGTCCTATACCCCCCACCCTAACCTTCCCTTATATTGTAAGCGATTTTGAGTCCTTGAAAAGCCCTATAAAAATATAATGTATTATTATTATTATTATTATTATTATTATTATACTGACAGGTATCAGATCTTGCTGTTTAAAATAATCTTCCTGAGAGGTGTCACTTGTGATGTAGTCTGTGTGGTCCACAGTGAATGTATTCCTGACAGCAACAGGTGATAAGAATCAAAGGTTCCCATAGCTTGGGGTAGTAATACAAAAACTACAATTTCTTAAAATGTATAAAATTTCAATTTAAAATTTGAATGGCATGATATCCAAAACATGTTTTTTGAGGAATAGCTGGAATATGAAATGATAAAAAAAAATGTAATTACAAAGATACTTCAAGAAAACCACCTCACCGGGTCAAAAAAGACCCACTTATGCATCTAAGGGTTAAGTATCCAGCAATGCAGTACCCTCAAGGAAGACCTTAAGCATTTGAAAAGAGAATGAAGTCATTCATATTATATTTTGTGTGTTTGTGATGTATTTTGTTGTTGTTTTTGGCATTTATATTGATTGCATGTGTGAGTAAGTGTATGCATAGACAGATAACTGTATGATATTTTTATTTTTTTCAAACTGCAGGATCATGTATATACACACACTTCCATCTCTGGTTATAATTAGCTTATTAATTAATCTTAAAAATGTAATTAGGGCTTGTGATTTCCTACGTAAGTGGGGGCGTGTCCAGGGTGTTAGCCGATTTGCTACTAGTTACCTTCCTTGCTAACAAGAACAGATAATAATAATTCCACGATTCTTTCTCGTTCCATTCGAATCCATCGTAAACAATAACACACGAAGGTTCTGTTACACTGCTAACGTTACCTCATTCGGCTAGCTTAGCTGTTAGCTACAGGGTTGACTTATATCAACAAACACAGTTAGCTAGCTCTGTCTTGATGTGTTTTTCTACACCTTTCTCGCTTTTTACAAACATTTCCACGACTAACGTTGATAACTAACATCCGACATTAGCGAACATGTAGCTAGAAGGAGCTATGACTTCATAATAACGTGCTTTAACCACGTCTACATAACTCCTGAAGCAATAGTTAGCTTACGGGTTGACAACAAGCATAGCTAACAACGCAATATGCGAAAATGGCTTTGTTTTATGAAGTTGCTAGTTAAAAACTGAAACGCACAACAACAGTCTTTTTTTTAAATTGATTTAGACCACATCAAAACAAGTGATCGCACTGCCACCCTACCTTCCAGTAGTCGAGAGATGAGGCTGTCAACGTTTAGCTCGCTTTCCGCCATGTTTCTGATACACTCAGGCAACGGCTACAGTTAGCCCTGCACACGGACTTGTAGGCTCAAAGGAGATTCAGCCTTCCCATTATACACCCATGGTTCCCATGCATGCACACACTTGCCATTTTATAGTTTAGTACACAAACACACCAACATACACACAAACACACACTCAGACACACACATATTGGTCTTAAGTAACTAAGTAGATACTCAAGTACTGTACTTAAGGACAATTTTGAGGGACTTGTACTTTGCTACTTTGTACTTCTAATCCAAAACAGTTCAGAGGTAAATCGTGTACTTTTACTCCACTACATTTATTTAATACCTTTAGTTACTTGCAGATGTTAATGATGTGTGAAATATAATCAACACATAAATAAGACTTAAGTAACACCTGGAGTAAATCCACAAGCTGACCTGCAGTATTTAAAGTAATTAAAACTAGCTGCACCTTTACCAGCTTTGATAACACTTTAATGCATCAATAATTAAAACCAAAACATATAATATATATATAATTCTGAATTCAATCTGCATAATTAGGTATTTTACTTTTGGTACTTTAAGTATATTGATGGTAATACTTTTGTACTTTTACTTGAGTACTACCTCTACCTAGGGGCCATGTCTTTCCTATGCCGCTCGCTGAAGAGGGTGTAGGATGGCAGTCAGGAGGTATAGCTGCCTTATATACTGTGCGGCCTGCGCGCGCATTCAGGTAGGCTCGCCCTGATTGGCCGGTTACGGTTATGCAAATGTCAGTGTGTGAATTGATGAAGAGTAGTACCCATAGAGTCCAGTAGAGGGCTCCGCCTGTGCTTATAGAACTAGGGTTACAATACGTAACCCACCATTTAATGACTCTGGAAGTTAAACATTGCCTTAATTTTTATCTAGTTTATTGTATCAGTATAAAACAGTTAAAGGTGGGGTAGGTAAGTTTGAGAAACCAGCTCGAGATACACTTTTTGTTATATTCCATGGAATGCTCTTAACATCCTGATAGCAATGAATATCTTAAGTGCTTTGACAAAAAATCCATAAAAAAATTCTAGCGCACTCGAGCTGGTTTCTCCAAAATTACCTACCCCACCCTTAACATCCTTATTTACCTTGGTAAATTAACAGGAAAATTGTTGTCGTAAATTAATTCACACATACAACATTTAAGTGGCCAAACGTACCAATAAGATTAGCATTCATAAGGCAACAAGGAACAAGTTGAACTCGTTTATGGTGACAGTTAACTGTCTTGTTAAACCAAAAGTTGAAATGTGTGTCGGTTCATTGATTCAATGAGAGCTGACAACCTTAAATCCTCAGATTATTTACAAGGTCTGTGATTCATCTATCATTTTGCCTTATTTGAACTCTTATGGATTCTCTGAGTTTACTCAGCCCTTACCTGTTCAGTTACAAAGGGAGAAACTTTACGGTGCAGGAGGGGTTGAAGCCAAAAGACCTTGATGCTCTGCAGCATGTGGATGTCCGGCCTAGTGATATCTATATGGTCACTTACCCAAAATCAGGTAAGTAAAAATCTGTATTTTAGTGCATAGTATATTGCTGGATTATAATTATGATTACTGATGACTTTGGAGCTCATTTTGCAAAATGTATACTTTTAACAACTGGTACTTAAAGTGGACCTATCATGCTATATTTGAAAAATATATTGTAGGGCCATACCTATATAAAACATGTCTGTGAATTTTTTTTTTCAAAATACCAAACAGATCACCCATTGTAGCCACGCCTCATACTGCTCAAACCCCTCTTTTGCAGCCCTGTTAGAGAAACGCAGATTTTGCGTCCTTAGCTTGAAAAAAATAAATAAGAGGAGGCGGAGCTAATGCCTGATCAGAATTATACCGGAGATAAAGTTAAATTCGGTTGTGATAAAACGCCATCCTGTTTAAGGCGAGACACGGCAGGCAAAAACATCGTTTTTCCTGCACTGGTCAATTTTGAGATTTTGTGCTATTTTGATTCCATTACATGTTTTCTTTCAGGCTTTTGGAAGGAAAACGTACAAAATACACATTTAAGTGTTTATTTTACTATAGTTTGTCTATTTGCGTCTGTAGATTTCTCCTAAATTCACCAAAAGTTAGCATTCTAACGTAACATAAAGTACCGCGACCGCTGTTTGCACCATGTCATCAGAGGTATCGTTGGAAAGCTCCCTCTCTCCTGCACAATCTCATCGGATCCAAATATGGTCATTTCCTTTGTATCAGCAACCAATCGTGAAAGTGCAAAGGGGTCTTAAACCAAGAAACGAAATCTCATTGGCTGGTGTCAATTTCTGACAACGTGATTCGTTCAGATGCGTCACGTGGTGTGCTAAAGCACTTCCTGGTTAGCTTTCCGCTAGAAATTTTAATCTGAAAATGGCAAAATAACGGCGAAAAAAACGTTAACAGAGAAGACTACAACAATTGCCACTTGCACAAAGCAAGGTTATACAAAAAACAAATGACCCCGAACATGAAATACCTTCACGGAGTGCATCGATGCGCAAGCTATCATCCAGATAACAGGAGGGTTTAGCTAGCGTCACACTGCAATCTTTAAAGGTCGTTTTCTCAAAATGAGTTTTTTCTCCTACTCTGAGTTCGAAATTTCCACTTCAGTAGCAGTTACATACACCAAACCTTCCAGTTATATTCCTATCAATATTATGAAGGCTTTTACAGAAGGGTTTGGTCATATATAATTCATAGCCTGAATTATATAACATTTTATACCTAAAAACATGGTGAAAATTGATATTTTAGGGCTGTTGACAGTATTTTCTGATTTATGGAGTGATACAAAGAGATATCCAAAATCCCTTCTGTAAAAGCCTTAGATACTAATATGACTACAAAATGAAACAATAATTTTGATCCTGGCTTTATCCAAAGTTTAGATTTCGATTCCTGAAATGTGTTAAAATATGCGCATATTTCACGAGATAATAGTCATTTGCATATTTAAACATGCTATTTCAGAAAACTTGTAATACAAAACACATTTGCCTTATTGTAAGTAATTAACTGGAGACATTTCTAGCTGATATCTTTAAGTTAAAAATATTACCCTATTCACCTGGGGTGTCTCGCCTTAAACCACATCAAGGATTATTTCTGAAATAGTGTGGAGCTCAAATGCTTTTTCTCTTGCAGGTTTAGCAAGGTGCAAGGTGAGTTCTTTTTTTATTTCCTGCTTTTTAAACACATGTGCTCTCCAGTAAAGGTTAGCTCTGAGTGTTAGTGAGGCTTGCTAATGTAAACAAAGACGTCCAAAACACGTCAGGCATTGTTTCTGATAGCAACTTTCTGTGGTCCGCCGACGTCACCACGGATGGACACGTCAGTTCGGATGGAAATCTGTATCCGCTCGTTATACACCCGTTTTTAAAAGATTTGGGTACGGAGGAAAAGAGAGAGGGTTTTATTTTCTGACGCTGCGTGAGTTCCCCGACGCACCAGGGACACATATTTATGTATAAAAGACATCACAAAGTACATTTTGCATGATAGGTCCCCTTTAAATGTTTAACATTGAATATTGAACTGTGTGCCTCCCTGTTGGGAAATGTCAAGTTTTAGGTTTTAAGTTATTTTTTTAAAGACTTGGGCTAAAGCCTTTATGGTATTTTGAGGGTTTTATGACAAACTGTTCAGAGCATGGATGCAGGGCCGGCCCTAGACATTTTGGTGCCCTAGGCGAGATTATGATTTGGTGCCCCCCGCCCCTCCAAGAAATAGAGGACAGTGAAGGAAGACAGTGAGGAGGACTGCACTTATTAACACCACACTTCGTGTGGGGTGAGTACCAAACACTGTCTCCTGGTACTCATCTGAGTCACTCACTAAAAAAGTGATGTGCACCCCTGATTATACACAACAACCAGCATTACGGGTTGTCCAACTTGCAAGGAAGGGCTAATTAAGTCATCATAAAAGTGTATCACCTCTAGCGACTTCAGGAACCATAAGTCGCTGAGAGGCTGAGGTTGGGCCTTGTTGCCTCTGTCTGACGCACTTTGAAAAATGATTTGCTGAGATTTAATGATAACGGTTGTCTTATATCACATGTACAAGCATATGGTCTGTATAATCCAGTTATCAAAAGTTGCGTTAAACAAAAAAAAACAGCAACCCTCTCACCCTCTCCTCCACACACACCTAACGAACAGGTGATTATATTTACTATGAGTGCCGCCCAATTATTTATTGTCACCAAAATGACACAGCACGCATCTCAAAACGTGAAGTTTGTTTACACGCAAGCGTGTATTTCAACATATAAAGCACTAACTTTTCAAATCTCTGTAAAGGCACAATATGGATGCAGCAGATTCTTGTCAAGATCACGGATGCTGTATATCCTCATCAGGAAGAAGATGCCACTAATAGGTTGCGCTTTCCCTGGCTGGAGGGACGTGTCGTGGACAGCTTTCAGGGAGAAAGGCCAGATCCCCGTCTTTGCCGCACACACCTTCCCCCTGATATGCTGCCCATTGGAGTGAAGGCAAAAAGAGTCAAGGTAAAAAGGGAAGAACTTACTAAACTGTCTTTGCTTCTGTTATTTCAGGCCAGAAATTGACTTTATATAGCTCCCCTTATGTACACAGATAATATATTGTTAACTGTGTGGTTCTAACACAAGACACAACCAAGCAAGCTGAACAAACATGCATCCATTTTAGTGAAGTCACTACAGGCAAAACTATATTTGTTTAATTGTTGATGTGTAGTATTTTGCATCTATAACTTGTCTTATCTTTAGCCTTATGATAGGAAATCATAGAAAATCCACATTTGGAGGTATATTATGCAAGGCTTTTTCTATTTGTGTAGATTTCTCATAAATTCTCCAAACGTATGCATTCGTGCTTCATTTGCATTGCGTTTTAAAAATAACAATTCAGGAAACTTATGAAAAAGAAAGTGTCTGAAATATGTTATAATAGATTAATGTAGATTTCTATAAGCAAACATAAGTTGTATTCTCTTTAAGAAAAACATTTCCAAAGACGGTCTCAGTTTTCTCAGTTTTCTTGCATTCAGTAAGTAAAGGCAAAATGAGATACTGCAGCACTAAACACTTACGGATATTACGTTTGATTAAATAATGTTCTGCTTTTAGGTTGTGTATGTGATGAGGAACCCCAAAGATGTCCTGGTGTCCCTCTATCACTTTTCTCACAGTTGGAAGATGTTGGAAACACCAAAGAGCTTTGAGGCTTTCTTTCAGGACTTCATGGATGGCAAAGGTAGGTGAAGGTGTTATTTGTATAGTATATTTATTATTTTTTAAATACAAACATTTGATAAAAAGACAAATACTGCAGTTATGTGTCTAAATCTCTCCTGTTTTTCATTGTGTAACAGCTTTTATGGGATCCTGGTTTGATCATGTGAGAGAATATCAGAATGAAAAAGACAAGATGGACGTACATTATGTCAAGTATGAAGACATGTTGAAGGTTGGTGATCATGTTTTTATATATATATATTTTGTTTGACTTCTTCCACGATGACAAGCTTGTTGATTATAGAAAAAAAGTTAATTTTCAATGTTTAACTAGCAACAAACGTGTCGCGTCCTCTCATTCTACTTCCCTTATTTGGCATTTGAAACCAGTATACAAGCAGATATATATATATATGATGTTAACTATAATTCTCTATAATGTAGTAGTAAAAATAAATAACATGCTTTCCTTTACATGTGGAATTGACAGGACCTCAGAGGGGAAGTTGTGAAGCTTTGTGATTTTCTGGGAAAAGATTTGACTGATGAAGCCATCGATCATGTTGTGGAGATGTCCACGTTCCAAAACATGAAGACAAACCCCAAAGCAAACTACAAGGACTTGGTTGAAAAAGAACGCTACAGCAGCCCAACCATGCGCAAAGGTTTGTTTCCAGCTTGTTTGGTAGAATGGTAGATTATTATTATTTTAAATTACATATCGCTTTATGCTTGATGTTTCTTTAACCCTCCTATTGTCTTCGTTTCCCCCCCTTACTTTGGTGTTCGCGGTCAAATTTGACCGGTCCTGTTTTAACTGCTATTACATTAACACGAAAACCATTAATCATCACCAAATTTCATTTAACACCCTTTCAAACTGTAAATATTGTATCAGACTACTGGTATACATGAAAAACTGCAGTAAATATACAAAGAATAGACACTGAACATGTATTGCGTGTGCCAGGTGTGATCCATGTGGGGGGATGGGCACATAAGAGCGGGAAATGTGTCAAATTGTTGTGTGCGTGTGTGTGTGTGTGTGTGTGTGTGTGTGTGTGTGTGTGTGTGTGTGTGTGTGTGTGTGTGTGTGTGTGGTGTGTGTGTGTGTGTGTGTGTGTGTGTGTGTGTGTGTGTGTGTGTGTGTGTGTGATGGGCACATAAGGGGGGGGACACATCTAGTGTGTGTGTGTGTGGGTGTTTGTGTGTGTGTTTTATCTGATAAATCCGGGAACACCATGGGTGTTACAAAGTTGACTAAATCATCCAAAATCCAATGAAAGTGGTGATCAGCAATTTCATATGTTCAAATGTCTACTGTGAAGGATATCATAAAGCCTTAATGCAATCGAATGTAAAACAAAAAAGTTATGATTAATGAAAGTAGTAAATCGGTCAGATTTGACCCGAAGACCACAGGTGGGTTAAAGTATTTGTGTGTTTGTTTGTGACAGGTGCGGCAGGCGACTGGAAGAACTTCTTCACAGTGGCTCAGAATGAGTATTTTGACCGAGTGTTCGAAGAGAAGATGAGCGACCTTCCTCTGAGCTTCACCTGGGAGATCAAACAGTAGCTCCATTATCATTCAGGGTTGATGATAGTCAGGGAAATGCAATTTTCAGATGGCGTTTAAAGAAGCAATCTGGTGTTATTCTATATCCCTCTTGCTGCCAACAATATGTTTATGTGTCCCTGTCTGCTCTGACTTTGGCACCAAGTCTGTTGTGTTCTGGAGCAAATGTAAAACGTTATGAATGGATCACAAATCACAAAGAGTCTACAGCCATTGTATGTAAGATTGATGTTTAATAGGTATCATTTTTACCATCTTCACCATATTAGTTCAGCTAATTACATTGTCAAAACCCACAATGTATCCATCCAATCCATGTTGAGAAAACTACACATTTCAACTACATGGTGCTGCCGTAGGAAAAACAAGGAGTGCTCCAAAATAATTGTTTTTCTTTGGAACTGCGATTCTCATACAAATGTTCAGGGAAATAAAGATTAAAAAAAAGAAATTGTGGATGATACTGTTGTTTACAAAGTCAGTCAACCATGTAAGATGTTCAAAGTTAAATGATAGAGTAAGAGTAAGAGTCCACTTTCAATACTATGACTTTTTTTTTAACATACTATATTATTTATTTTTGTAATAAGTTTTTGAGACACTATACTATGACTTTCTTCATGATATTTTAAAAACCTACTATACTACAATACTTATTTTTATACTATGACATTTTTGATGATATTTATGACTGGTAATAAGTATCTTAGCAGGTGATTAGAGGTACGAACGAAGTACAAAAATTAATTGAGAAACAATTGCTCTTTTCAAAATACGATACTATGCCTTTTCTTTTACATACTCAACATACTTTTTGGCTTTTTAAATAGTTTTTGATAAACTATATGACTTGTGACTTATGACTTGACTGTGACTTTTTACAGGTTATTTGACATATCTTACATATAGTTACTTCGGCATCACTTTGAAACGTGTATTACAATTAAATCACGGTCAATATGTTTCATTTTGTTGTCGAGTTTCACCGCAGCTGTCAGTGTTTACTCCTGTCATTCAAACAAGACGTGCTGGAGAGGGGGCGGATCGATCAGGCTAAACTAACCTGTAGCTGCTCCGTCCACACTCACAACAGCGTCATACAGACATAAATAAAGCAGCGACTGTATTCGCCATGACATAGACAGTCTGTGGTTTGTACTTGTTTAACTTTTGTCCAGTTTCTGAACAGATATGAGGAGCTGTGAGCTCTGAGTGTGTGCTAACAGCTAACGGTTGATGTGTTGGGACATGTTGCGCTCGGGTGCTGACCAATCACGAAGCGTCATTTCTTGACTGGCAGCAAAAACAACCAATCACAGCAGTGCTTCTCTGGCTGGCTCTGTCCAATCACAAACAAGAAGTGTTCTCCCTAAAGGAATACCCTTTCCGTCCAATGTGAAATGCTGTGGTGTTTTCTGAAATGGTGTAGCGTTTTCTGAAATGCTGTTGTGTTTTCTGAAATGCTGTTGTGTTTTCTGAAATGCTGTAGTGTTTTCTGAAATGCTGTAGTGTTTTCTGAAATGCTGTGGTGTTTTCTGAAATGCTGTGGTGTTTTCTGAAATGCTGTAGTGTTTTCTGAAATGCTGTAGTGTTTTCTGAAATGCTGTAGTGTTTTCTGAAATGCTGTAGTGTTTTCTGAAATGCTGTAGTGTTTTCTGAAATGCTGTGGTGTTTTCTGAAATGCTGTAGTGTTTTCTGAAATGCTGTTGTGTTTTCTGAAATGCTGTTGTGTTTTCTGAAATGCTGTTGTGTTTTCTGAAATGCTGTGGTGTTTTCTGAAATGCTGTAGTGTTTTCTGAAATGCTGTGGTGTCTTGCACTTCCGGGCCACCGTACAATTGAATGTAAAACAAAAAAGTTATGATTGATGAAAATATTAAATCGGTCAGATTTGACCCGAAGACCACAGGAGGGTTAAAGTGTTTGTGTGTTTGTTTGTGACAGGTGCGGCAGGCGACTGGAAGAACTTCTTCACAGTGGCTCAGAATGAGTATTTTGACCGAGTGTTCGAAGAGAAGATGAGCGACCTTCCTCTGAGCTTCACCTGGGAGATCAAACAGTAGCTCCATTATCATTCAAAAATGGCTCTTACATGGGGGTTTAAAAGAAAAAAGGTCCAGTGTTATTCTATATTCTGTTGCCAACAATATGTTTATCTTTTCAGTTACGTAATCATCAAATAGTTATGAAACATTTCACCCTAAACTACAGATATAAAATAAATTTGGATTACATATTTACATATTTGATTCTACATCCCTGGATTCACACATGGGTAAAAACATTTCCTAGATTACGTAGAGATTATTATGATTTCAGAGATGAGGAAACATTTTAGGGTACAATAATATTGTTTACAAAGTCAATCAACCATGGATCGTATGTTGTAGCAATTTTATTCTATCAATAAATAAAAATGAGAAGTACAAAACGTCAGGATTCAGCTAGGTCAATTACACAGGGATATTTTACATGTAGTTGGCAATCAAAACATAATTACAAATATTACATACTTTGAGCACCATTGAGTAATATTTGTGTTAGTTGTTAGTAATAGAAAGGCTAATTTACATAAACTGTTGGCATTAAAGGTCCCCTATTATACTATTTTTCATCAATACATTATAGGTCTCAGATATATACAAAATATGTCTCTGAAGTGTTTGGCACCAAATACCAAACAGGTCATTGCAGCATCCCATAATCCCCTCTGTTTCAGCCCTGTTTCAAAAGTGCTGATTCTGTGTCTGTTACTTTAGATGAAAATAAGGAGCCCCTCCCCACGCCCCTCTGAGAGATATTTGGTTAAAAAGAACACAATGGTGCTCTAGGAGGAGATTCAGGTGATAAGGTGTGGGGGGGGGGGGGTTACCTTGGTTGGTGATTGGCTAATGGTTACACAAGCCAAAAAATCGTTATGACATCATAAAGTGGCCAAAATCTGATCAGCTCATTTTCAGACAGGTTTTTATATAAATGGATCAGGACAAAAAGAGAGAGAATCTTTTTTCCTGAAACTTTCAGAATCTCTTCACACAGAGGGGACACATGTTGATGTATGAAAGACATGAAAAAGTGGATTTTGCATAATAGGTGACCTTTAAATACCGCTATATGACAACAACTGCTTTAAAAACCAGTTCCTTTCAATTCCACTGCTTTCTCCACTTTGTTTTTCCGACGCACACAGCTGGAGAGAATTAGCCAGGCGACAAACACGCCAGTCAGCAAACTGATGACTCCCACAACCACTGGCACCCACACAGGCAAAGAGGGGGGGCACCTGGGAACAGGAAGTGTTGGTACAGCAGTGGAGGTGGTGGTGGTGGGGGTGGTGGGCGGGGGGATGGTCACTGCGGGACTTGGTAGGCTGTTGATCTTAGTGAAGAGGAAAGGATTCGCCTGTAGGAAACACATCACGGCTCAGTGCAGTAATTCATGAAAACTTTGAAAAAGAACCAACAGCGGCAATAACAATAACTGCATTTGGAAACCCCTAAAATTAATCTGTTTCTGTATTGGTTACTTATTATATACTGAACTTCACAATATTTTAGCTGTGTTTAAAGCCAATTTTTGTATATGTAATATGTGCTATTATTTTGACTTTAAATAGACATATTGATATTTCTTCAGTTTTTATTTTATTTTTTTATATTCAACACTTTTGTTCTCCAGACTGAATAATATGTTAAATGTTACTCTAATTAATAATTAATAAGTAAATCAATACAGTCAATAGAATTTGGGTTGTGAGCAGTGGGATTTCCCTCCAGACTTCATAAATCTCTTCACTTACCTCAGAGGGACAGTTAATCTTTGATCGGTCATATGTGAAGTTGTTGTAGTTTTGCTTTCTTCCAACGGGCTCCAACTATTAAAACATGGAGGGAAGTTTTTTTTAAAACCACAAAGAACACTATGCATTGTGCTGCAGTAGTTTAGTTGCTCCTTGCTCACCATGTTATTCCACAAAGCTACGGCCATCTCAGCATGAGCTCGCTCACTGATGTGGAAACAGTCCACAGAGAAGAAACTCGAGTCAACCTCACCCTCCTGGTAAAAAAAAGTAGATTTTAAAATCACAGTTAAAGTTTAGTGACATTTTTAGAGCGTTTCAGATTTTATAATGGGTGTTGGGAAAATACTGAATGTACTCTTCCAATATCAAAGTAGCACATGATATCAAAGGCCGTACATAGCTGTGGACGTAACCGGATGTATGATTACCTAGAAGAGCGTCAGGACACACTGTTTTAGGCATATGATAGCTATGTGATTAACATGATGATTCAGCCTCTATGGAGATAGACATATGACAATCATGATCATTTCTGATGTGGGTCTTAGCTAGTCTGAACTAAACATTAAATACTGCTTTGAACCGGTATTCCTCCATCTTGTGACTGTGTAACTCCCTCTCTTGTATATCAGCATGTGAAAGGACACTGTTCAGGAACTAGTTGATGCTCTGTATGTGATGACTACTTCCATTCTTGTCAGGATAATAAATACATGTATCCTGATTATTGAAGCTCAAGCCGATGACAAGTGATATTTTTCTAACAATGGGTGTGTACGTGACGGAATGTTCAGACATTCCAAAGGGACGACATCATCACTTCTTAGAGTGTCTGAACATTCCGTCTTAGAGTGTTAAAAGTCATTAAAATTCATGAAAGAAAGATCTTAAACCTGATCTAAATCTTATAGTTTTCACTCTTTTCACATCATTTTAGAAGATTTTAGTAGCAAGATTAGTCAGCGTTGTCTCGATGCCTTCATTATATAAAATTGACTTACAAATCAAGCCCGAAACGGCCCTTCAGTGACAAAAACTCTAGCTGCGTCGCCCATAGGGCGCATATCCACGCCCCTGTTACATTTTCTGTTGGGAGAGACTTTAGGAGAACTGCTAAATACACACAAATCAAACAAATGGTTCATAAGGGGACACAGATGCTAACCCCAAATAATTGTATCAATACTATTTACGATTTTCTGAAGAGGAGGCTAAACTGTCACAGATAAACCTTAATACATTCTGAATGAGACTCAGTGCTTCCCCGAGGACCTGCACCAAGTGCCAGTCACACAGTCAACATTTTTGAGGGGAATTTTTCTAGTAATGTCCTAATGTTTCTTTGTGTATCTCTGTTACTTACTCCAATATACGGGATGAATACATTCTCTAAAAAGGGTTGAAGGACGACAGCAAAGTCTTCTTTTCCCTCAAAGTGATCTCCGGAGATGAGATGCTGGATTTCAGCCTGGGAAGAAAAAAAAAGAGAATTGGATAAAAGACAGAGCGAACCCCATTAAAACAAAAATATTTAAATGGTTAAATAACTCTTTGTTAACCTGATACTCGCGATTGATTCGTTTCATCTCTTCAAGCTCT